GGTATTATAGGTATGCACCACTATACTTTTGTTAAAAATTAGTTATTTGAATTTGGGTAACATGGAGACTGTGTTTCGAAATAATTTTTTTTAAGGGCTGGCTACATAGCTCAGTGGTAGGGCACTTGTCTAACATGCAGGAGGCCTGGAGCTCCATTCTTACTACTAAAACAAAATTAGTTGCCTGTGTATATGTGGGTTGTTTCTGAACTATTTTATTTATTTTGGAGTTTTTGAGACAGAGTCCCACTATGTGAGGTAGGCTGGCCTTAAACTCATTTATGTAGTCCAGATTGGCCTCATGGTGATCCTCCTGCCTCAGCCTTCCAGGTGATGGGATTACAGGTGTGTAACACCACACCCAGATAATTCTGGATTCTTGGTTCTGTTCACTGACTTACTTTTTTTTCTTTTTCTTCCTTGACACCAATACTGTGCTATTGGTATATGTCATGTTGTGATTTGTGTCTAATTGTCCCCCCAAAGCCTCATGCAATCATGGGATGGACTTTTAGAGGTTGTGATTAATTCATGATCTAATGCTGGGATTATGGGTGTGAGTGCTGCTAGGATTATGGGTGGGAGTGCTATACCCGCCCTGGGGCGGATAGCCTGGGCACAGTGTAAGGAAGGGACAGGCTTGCTCTCTGCTCTCTGCTGCTGTAGCCGCTGCTCCTCCCTTTTCTTCTTGCTGTCTTCTGCCGTCATGAGCTGCTGCTCTCTGCCACGTGCCACTCTGCCTTGGGGCCAGCTGAGTATGGACTGAAACCCCCACTAACTGTGAGCTAAGTAAACCTTTCCTTAATTTGGGGTGTGAGGTATTTTGTCACAGCATTGAGAGAAAAGTAACCAAGACATGTCATAAGCAGCGGGTAATTTTGACACAGATATGTTAATTCTCCACATGTCTTTCTCAGATTTGTTCTGGCTCTGCTGAATCCTTTGTTTTTCATATTAAGTACAGGGTCTGCTTGTCAATCCTTGTTGTGGCTTCTCTGTAAATTGTGTTAGCTTTCTACATCTGGCCATGACTTCTTTTCTTTTTTTTTTTTTTTTTTTTGTGGTCCTGGGGATCAAACCTGGGACCTAGTGCTTGCCAGGTAGGCACTTGTGCCGCTGAGCCATATCCCCAACCCTGACAGTCAGGATTTCTATGGAGAGTCTTACTCCTCCCTTCTTTATCTGGATGCCTCTTTTCTTGGCTGAATAAAAATCTGATGTCAGGAGGAAGATGTTCAGCCTTTCACCACCAGTGTATTCACTCCTGAGGCCTTGAAGATGCTTTTATCAGGTGAAAGGTTGCCTTGTGTTTAGTTTCCTGCACTTTTTGCAATGTCAGGAATAGATGTTGGACTTGGTCATATCAATTCTTGCATCTATTGACATGATGTTTTTGTTCTTTAGTCCGCAAATGTGTTGACCTGCGGTAGCTGACGAGTTGATTTTCTGAGGTTAAGCCATCTCTGTATTCCTGCCAGAAGTCCCACTTAATCATGATGTGTTCTTTTTGACTGGATCTTACTTGAAAATATTGTTTAAAATTTTTGCATCCATCTTCTTATCATAGTTTACTGGTCTGCAATGGTCGTACAGTTCCCGTGAGCACCAGGGGAGTCCCATTGTCCTATAGAATGACTTGTGCTGTGTGTGTGTGTGTGCGCGCGCGTGGGTGGGCTGGTGCGGCATGTGGTGCTGGGGATTGAACTGTGGTCCCTGCACACTTACCTAAGCAGGTGCTTTAGACCACTGAGCTATCTTACCCGAATGACTTATGATACACTTTCTTCTCTCATTGTTTCTAAGGAGTTTATGTTTGTTATTATTTCTTCCTTCACTGTTTAGAAGAATCACCTTTGTCCCATCTGGGCCTGGAACCTCTTTATGAAATGTACAACCACAATTAAATTACTTTAATAGATGGAAGGCTATTCAAATAATCTATTTTTTCTTCAATAAGCGTTGGTATGTCTTCTCCACTTTATCTAAATTGATAGAAAGTTATTGGCACAAAGTTGTTCCCATTAATGAATTACACTTAGTATCTATAAACCCTGTAGTAGGACCTATGTTCTGTTTTTGGTAAATGTTTTTCTGTTTTATCCTGGCCCACCTGACTAGACACTTTATCAGTTTTATTAATCTCAGAGAGAACCAGCCTTCCATTTATTGGTTTCCTTATCTCGTTTGTTTTGTTCTCTCTTCTCCAGAGCCTGGACTGGGCAGGCCTCACAGTCCTTTTACCACTGCCCAGGGGTGGGCCACAGCCCCGCAGAAGGCCCTGCCGATGGCGGCGAGCAAGGGCGGCTGCACCAAGCACCAGGGCAGGCGACGGGACTGCGCCCAGCCTGCAGGCTGCTTCTGCTCCTTGCTTCTGCTGTTTCTTCCTTATTTCCTTTGGGTTTAATTCGCTCTTCCTTGCAGTTAAGGGAGCAGCTGAGTCACCTACTTGAGGCTCCACCTTTCAGTACAGGGGCTCACACATGCTGGGCAGGCACTGCATCATTGAGCCACTTCTCCGTACTTCTTAAACCTATTTTTTGAGACAGAGTCTCACTAAGTGCCCAGGTTGGCCTTGAATTTGGGAAACTCCTGCCCCAGCCTCCTGAGTAGCTGAGATGAAAGCAATGTACCACCGGGTCCAGCTATTCTTCCCCTTTCCCTTTTTACTTTATTGGTACATTTTAAATATAGTGCTAACATTCATTCTGGGAGACTGGCACCTGTGCGTGGTGTATCTTGCTGCTGCTTCCCCCCCCCCCCCATTCCATTCTCCTCCCTTCCTTCAGCCTTTCTTCTTTTTTAATAGAAGTATTTGGTAGTGTTATGGTTTCAATCTAGAATGGCCCCCCAAATTCTCAGGTTATGGAAGCTGATTGGATCATGGGACACCATGTACGTCAGTAGGTTCACCCTCTAAGGAGTTGAGAGCCGTAAGTGAGGTCGGGTCTGGGTACAAGGGATGGGTCGCTGAGGGCGTGGCCTGGGCTCCGACCTCCCTGGCTCTGCCCTCTGCTTCCTGGCTGCTGTGCTGTGACCCGCCTCCTCAGCCCTGCTGTTCCTGGGCTGCAGCCAGCGACTATGGATTGAAAACGTGAGCCAAAATAAACCTCTCCTCTCTAAGCTGTGTTTTCCAGTACGTGATACTCACAACTTGGCTACTGGAAATTAAGACAGATGGTATGAATGTTCCCCTAAGTAATGCTTTGGCTCCACCCCACAAATTTCAGTACATTATTTTCATTTCCATTCAGTTCAAAATCTTTTTCTTCTTTTTTTGTTTTGTATTTTTAGTAAGGTTCTACAGAATCTCACTATGTAGACTGGACTTGTAGTGAGTCTCCTGTTTTGAGCCTCCCAAGTGCTAGGATTACAGGTGCGTACCACCATGCCTAGTCTCAATCGCTGTCTCAGTGCGCCCAGGAGGTGGGGCTGAAACAGCTGGGGAATTGAACCCCAAGTGCTGTGTCTGCCTAAGCAGGCACTTTAATCAGCTGAGCTACTTGGCTGGCCCTGTCTTTTTGTAATTTTCCCTGATTTCTTCTTGGTTCCATGGAGTTACTATGTTCCTCAGAATGTCCCAGATACTGTTTTGCTCTTGTTTTCTAATATAATTCCATTGAAGGCATAGAACTTTTTTTTTTTTTTTTTTTGGACCAGGAACCAGTGCTCAAGGTCTTGTGCTTGCCAGGCAGGCACTTGTGCTGCTGAGCTACATCCTTAGCCCTGCATAGAGTATATTTTATATGACTTGGATCTTTTTAAAAGTTTTTGAAACCTCTATGAGCAAAGCCCCCAGTACATCTCCAAGTGCACTTGTCGGGGGAGGGGGGGGTCTGTGCACGGCAGCTGCTTGCTAGTGTCGTCCTTTTGGTCACCCCAGCCCATGAAGACACACACCCTATTTGTCTTGACAGATGAAGCCCATTACAGCTGTGTAACAAACTATGGAGACAGCACCTAAATAATGGTAGAACTCATCCCCAGTGGATGCCCCACTTTTTCAGTTTGTTTGTGTATCTAGTTGTACAATGGACATCAGAATTCTTGTGTTCACTTCTAGGGTGTGGGGCTGATGGAGGGAACGCCTGTTTGGGTTTTTATTGAGCATTTACTACATTTATTAGTGAATTCGGAACTCTTCAGCTATATGGTTGGGGCTTTTGTTGTTGATTTGTGCATGTGTCTTTTTGAGCCAGAGTCTCACTAGGCAGTTCAGGCTGGCCTTGAACTCACTTTGTAACCCAGGCTGGGCTCGAACTCGCAACGATCCTCCTGCCTCAACCTCTTGAGTGCTGGGATTACACCACTACTCCAGAGATGTGCACCGCCATGCCGGGCAGCTGTGTATAGCTGAGTCTCTGTCCCAGAACTGCTCACTTCGAGGCTCTGAGATCTTTCTTTAGTGCTATAAAGTTTTCCTGCCAGAATAGGCAGTCAGCAACAGCAGGTAGGAAGAGGCACTCCAGCTTCAAGCTGGGCTGTCCAAGAGGAGCCAAGCGCCCAAGAACTTCAGGACAGTGCCTCACATCTCTGTGTGAGACTACAGCAGAAGGTTATTTGAAATCCATCCAACAAGAAAACTTTTCCTACTGGGAGTGGTGGTGCCCAGCTGTCATCCCAGCCACTTGGGTGGCTGATGCAGGAGGATCCCAAGCTCAAAGCCAGCAGAACTGTCTCAAAATAAAAAGATGAAAGGGCCGGAGATGTAGCTTGGGTACTCCCTGGGTTCAATTCCCAGTATTCTCAAACAAAACAGCCCTTTTTCTGTATGCTTGAAATATTTCATGATTTTGTTTTGTTTTGAGACAAAAATCTCCCTTTGTAGTTCAGGCTGGTCTTGAGCTGGTTATGTGGCCCAGGCTGGCCTCAAACACCCAGTGATCCCCCTGCCTCAGTCTTCTGCATACTAGAATTACAGGTGTGTGCCATCATGCCCAGCTAATATTTTATAATTAAAAAAAAAAAAAAGTCAGTTTTAATAGAAAAGAATTTATGGCAAAATACAGTGATTTCACATTAAAGTTGTACATTCTGCTAAACCAAATGGCCATAATGTGTGTGTGTGTGTGTGTGTCTCAGATAAAAAATTACATGCTTTTATATATGTGCAAATCTCCAGTGTGATAACATTTCATTGAAGAAATGATTGTATTTACGACACACCATCGTCCCTGAGTCTGCAGACCTTCTTAGGCCAGCCTTGCCCAGACACCCCCAGTGTCCCTCAGGGGGTGCTGGTCCCTCCCGAGGCTGGTCCCTCCCGGGGTGCTGGTCCCTCCGGAGCTCCAGGACCCGCCATCCCGAGCTCTGGAGCTGCAAGCCCCAAGCCCGATGCAATGGGAAGAGCTTCTCCAGACAAAAGCCCATCACTAAGCGCGTTGCCATTTCCCTTAGTGGGTCTTTGCTGAGCCCCAGAGCGGCCCGGAAGGGAAGGGCAACACTAGGAATGACTGGGAGGATAATCCAGGACCACTAACCAGGGAGCCCCGGCACACTTCCTGGCCCGGGGCGCAGAGCGGATGTCACTGCCCTCCTGTGTAATGGAGACCCTCCCTCGGGTGAATTCCAGGAAGGCGAGCAGCCTACACAGACAGAGCGGCGGGTGCCAGCCTGCCAACCAGTGTGCTGAGAGCTCCCACTTTCTCCTCCAGGATGCGATTTTGCTTCTCAGCGCCCCACTGCTTCTGCTCGGCGACCTGAAGGGCCTTCATGAGGTGGGCATTTTCCACGTAGAGCTCCTCGAGCAGCAGGCCGCATCTGGTGCTCTTCTCCAGCTAGAGGAGAGCCACGTTTAGAGGCGAGCCAGTGAATCCCCCACAGGGAATCCACCAGCCAGCCGGCCTGCCCCCCCGCCCATGTGCATGCCACATCTGTCCCAGCCATGATTCAGGTTCTTGGAAACCTCACACTTGCTGAGTACCACGGCAAGCGAGGTGTGGTGGCACACACTGTAATCTCAGCACTGTTGGAGGCCGAGGCAAGAGGACTGCAAATTTGAACTCAGCCTGGACAACATAGCAACTTAACAAGACCTTGTCTCCAAAAATGTTTACAAGGGGCCAGAGTGCTGGGAGTGTAGCTCAGTGGTAGGCCGCTTGCTTATTATGCACAAGGCCCTCGTGAGGAAAAAGGGTTAGGATTAAGGTCTGCTGGAGACACAGCTGGGGCTGCCCACAGAGCCATGCATTCGCTGTCAGCTCTAATGCCAGCTCCTCAGCTAGCGCCACCTGTCTGTTCCACTTCCTCTACCCAGCCAGTCACCCTGCCATACAGAGGCTTGTCCCCACCGCCAGAGTGGAAGGTCCCCACCACCAGACCAGAGACTGGTGCCTTGGCCCGCAGCTGGAGCTGGGGTGTCTGCTGAGTGACTGACTGATCCTGAATGTGCCAATGATGTGTTTTCCTCAAAGGTTCCAGAATAGTTCCTCAAAGAAATGTGACATACAATGCAGTGTGTGTGTGTGTGTGGGGGGGGGGGTTACTTGGTCAAATCAGTCTTCTGTGAATTAGGTCCAGTTGTGACTCTCAAGACAATTTGCTCACTTTCAGGGTGAAGTTTAGACCCCAAGCTGGCAGCCCCACATGGAAATGGGGCGCTCTGGATTCTGAGAGGATCCCCAGGGGCCCTCAGGGTGCAGACCCAGAGGGTTAAGTGCTGCCACTCACCCGTTCCAGCTTCTCCTGCAGGAGCCGCTCTGTATCGCCCGCTTGCGCTTCCCTGGTGTCTGGCCGCTCTTCCACCTGCCACAGAACAAGGTTCCACACCTACTCCTGGTTCAGAAGTCACCTCAGGGCTCACTCACTTCAAGATGGAAATTGGCCAAAACATAAAGGGAGTAACCTCAAGCAACTTTCCATCTGTGTAAGGTGGTGTCACCCCCGCCCGCCAGGGCCAGGGTGCAGTGTGCCCACACAGGAAACCTGGAGGGCCAGGGGCACAGAGCACAGTGCCTGCCACAGCCAGGAGCCTCGCCCACCCACACACCACTCAGCCTGTGCCTTCTCCTGAGCGGCTGGAGGCCAGATCTCAGCCCGCTTCCTTCGGTCTCCCTGTGGGGCTTCATCCAGAGCAGCTGTCTCCATGCCCTAAAAGGCCTGGTGACTCCACCCCAGTTCTCCTGAGACCCCACTGCCAGAAGTGGAGATACAGCCCATTGGGGGCCTCCAGCGGCAGGTACAGGGTAGCCACATGGCCCAGGGAAAAGGGAGAGCATGCCTGACCTGCTCAGTGCCCTCAGCACGCCCACAGCCCACCTGGACTGGCCCAGACCCGGCCCTGCTGTCCCAGGAGCCTCCAGCTGCCGCACACACGCACCTGGTCCCAGCCCTCCTTCCGTTTCTCCATCTGCTCCAAGCGTACTAGCCTCAGGCTCTGACACTCCTCACTCACGTGCTCAAGTTCAGCTTCAAGCTTCTGGATCCGGACGCACTGTTACAAAACACGAATTCCACAGGTACAGTAGCAAAAATAGCTCACTGCCTGCTTAAACCTTCAGAATATTACAGAAATAAAATATGGCAAAACGGAAGTCCCCGATGGCACCCAACCCCACCTGACATCCTGTTGCCACTCCCATAGGCACTTCCCAGGACACACTGGGTGCTGGGCCACACTGCTGGGACTGCAGCCCCAGGCTATCACATGTCCCTGGGGAGCTGGGTCCTCCACAGCTGCACCATAATTCATCACCTACTGCTCCTGGTTCCAGTGGCTTCAGGTCTGTTACTGTTGTAAATAGCACAGTGATGAAAAGCCTTCCGGTTAAGTCTTGCCACAGTGCTCTTAGGTACAGCTCCCATGAGGGAACAAGGATATTCTTGAGGCTTTTGACATGTTTTGGCAAGCGGTCCCCTGAGGCGCTTACACAGTTCACTATCCTAGCATCAGCGTTTAACACCCTTCTGCAACTACACTGCCCCTGAGAAAAACTGGGGCATTTGGCACCATGTTCCTGAAGGGCCCCTTTTGCATCCCCAAGTCTTGCCCAAGTCTCTGTGCATGCCCAGACTGGACCGTCCAGATGAGTCTTATCTGGGACCCTGGGAACTAGGCAAACTAGTGCTCTCTGTAGGAGCCACTACCTGCCCTTATGCAGTCACCTGTCTCGGAGTGCTGCTCATCCCCAGGACAAAGCCAGCTCACGATGTCACTGCTATGTAGTCCACTCTGCAAAACCTCCTCCCGATGGTGACCAGGCATGGAGCAGAGCACCACAGAGAAGATAACAGTCCCCCACCATCACATGGGTGGTCTGTCCCACCCACCAGTGCCCCTTCCCTCCCTGGCCCGCCACCCCAACCTTGGGTGAGCTCCTGTGCAGCCTGTGGCCCCTGGACCCTATCCTGTCCTGTGATTGGGTTTCAATCTGTCCCATTCTTTCCTGCTACTCCAAGTTCACGGCTGAGTGTAGTTTGTCCTGTTGCCAGGAGGCTCTACCTTGAATTTGATCCTTCCACCAAGTATGCACAACTGTCCCACCGGGCCATTTGTACCACTGGTCTTACAAATGGATCTAATTACTTTATTACTTTATTTATTTATTTATTTATTTATGTGTGTGTGTGTGTGTATGTGGCCAGCTCAGCCCACCAAGGGGCGGGGCTGGCTGGCATGTGGTGCTGGGGATTGAACCGTGGTCCCTGTGCTTTGCTAAGCTTGTTCTAAGTACGCGCTTTAGACCACTGAGCCATCTCACCAGCCCCTCTAATTACTTTTTTCAGTCTTCATGCTAATAAAATTAGTACAAAGTCTATAAATGGGCCAAATCTAGTTAGTTGCTTGAATTTGATTAATTACTGCCCAAATGTAAATATTAGTCAATACTATTAGTACTACTAATACCAATTAAAAGTTGTTATAATAATTTATTTCAGTAAAGTGAAATTCCCATGGCATTTCTTTATGGGTTAATCAATAATTCTCTAATTTTTTTTCTTGTTTTTTTTTTTTTTAAATTTTATTTATTTGTGTGTGTGTGTGTGTGTGTGTGTGTGTGTCCAGCTCAGCCCACCAGGGGGCGGGGCTGGCTGGCATGTGGTGCTGGGGGATTGAACCGCGGTCCCTGTGCTTTGCCAAGCTTGTTCCAAGTAGGTGCTTTAGACCACTGAGCCATCTCATCAGCCCCTTTTTCTTGTATTTTTGAGACAGGGTCTTGCTATGCAGTTCAGGCTGGCCTTGACCTCACCTTGTAGCCCAGGCTGGTCTCGAACTCTCACAGCGATCCTCCTGCCTCAGCCTCCCAAATGCTGGGATTACAGGTATGCACCACCATATCCTGCTAATTCTCTAAATTCTTTTTTTTTTTTTTTTTTTTTTTAGTATAGGGTCTATAGGGTCTCACTACACAGATCAGACTTGTAGTGATCCTCCTGCTTTCAGCCTGCCAAGTACTGGGATTACAGGCACGTGCCACCACACCCAGTCTCAAGTCACTGTCTCAGCACACACCGGGGACAGGGCCGGCATGACACGCAGGGGATTGAACCCCAGTCCTTGCACCTGCCTAAGCAGATGCTTCAGTCCACTGAGCAACTAATTCTTTAAATTTTAACATGGAAATGTTACAAGTGCCCCATTGCTGGTATATATTATATGCACTTAACAACTGCTATACCACAAATTAGCTGTATTACAATGGTTTAAATACTTTTTTTTGCGGAACCAGGGATTGAACTCAGGCCCTTGTGCTTGCCAGGGAAGCACTTATTCTACTGAGCCATCTCCCCGGCCCTTAAATGCTATTTTAGGAGGGTTTTTTTGAGACTCGCTGTGGAGTTCAGGGTAGGCTTGAACTCACCGTGTTGCCCAGGATGGCCTGGTTTAAATGTTTTCCTTAAAGAAATGTAACATGATCACATCAGCTCTGCTAAATCAGAGTCTTCCTTTGCATTACTGTAATCCAGGCCCCACTGAGAAGAGGGGCTTCATGAATGAAATCAGCCTTCATACGCCTTGTCTCTATCAGGGGAGGCATTTCCTTGCGTCTCGCGCGCCTCCACCGCCCTGGCACGTCTGGGGTGCGCGTGCAGCTCGAGCCCTGCGCCCCTGTGGAGCGCCCGCCTGCAGGCACTTCCCATCTGCACCCACGACGCCCACTGTCCTCACCTGCTGCTCCTCACGGCACCGTGCCTCCTCCAGCCTCTGTGTTAGCCGCTGAGCGGCTGCCAGGTTCTCCTCATTCCGGGCCTGGTGTGTGGCAGCGGCCTCTTCCAGCTGCAGGACCCTGCAGCTGAGCTGTGCCACTTCATTCTGATATTTCTGATTCTACAGCAAAAAAGATGAAAACAGATTGAGAGAAAGCTTTCAGGCAGCAGCTCTGTTCAGATCATTCCAGTGGTTCCTGAGCAGGGAGAGCTTTGCTAAGGACCATATGCATGTGCCTTGTTACCCCGCAGTTATTTCTAAAGTGTTGTAATTTAAAGTTTAAAAGCAACTGACTTAAACCCAAAGCACAATGACCTCTTCAAAGTCTCCCCTGCTCTTTGTCACTGGACATGCAAGAGCTTTTGGAAGGCAGCATGTGGCCACTGAATGGGACACTTTGCTTTTTCTCATAGCCATGGCTGGCCACAGGACAGAAGGTTGCCAGCAAATGCCCAAGGGTGAATGAGGACACAGCAGTGACAGAAGCAGCAGGGGGAAGTTGGCCGGAAGCTTCACGGCAAGGAAATTCAAATGTTCTCTGTTTTCTTTTTTTTTATTTTATTTTATTTTATTTTATTTATTTATTTGTGTGTGTGTGTGTGTGTGTGTGTGTGTGTGGCCAGCTTAGCCCACTAGGGGGCGGGACTGGCTGGCATGTGGTGCTGGGGGATTGAACCGCGGTCCCTGTGCTTTGCTAAGCTTGTTGTAAGTACATGCTTTAGACCACTGAGCCATCTCACCAGCCCATGTTCTCCGTTTTCTGTCGTGATTGGCTTCACACCAGCCATACTTCTGCTTACTTGGCTTTTCCCACTGTGGTCCGTTTTGGGGTGAGAGTTCTGAGGGCCTCAGCCTCTAAGGCTCAGCACTGCAGGTAGGAGCACATGCCAAGAATGGGGCTAGGGCCTGGGGAGATAGCTCAGTAGAATAAGCGCTTGCCTGGCAAACGCAGGATCCTGGGTTCAATCCTCAGTACTGCTAAATAAATAAATAAATAAATAATATAATAAAATAAAATAAAATAGGGTTTAATAAACACGCAGAGGTCCCGGAAGTTGCTTTAGTTTGGAATTGTCCAAGCTTGGCAAGTTCTCTGAGAGTCTCAGTTTTTCCCTTCCCCAGAATCTCAGGGGTCCATACATCACGAGTCCCTGGCAATTCTGTCTGGTAAGATCATTCTCTCATATTTATCAGTTTGGGGTGAAAATTAATGTTGATTTACCATACTGACTCATGGTCACCTTGTTCTCTAAGGACATTAATAGAAATGAAACGAAACTGTCCCTGGACTCCTGGTATGAATAAACTAGTTGATCTGCTTCTATTCAACTTGAGTATTTAAAGCCTGTTCAGAAATAATTTCAAGCATACAGAACAGCGGCAAGTGATATAAATGCCAGCACATGGGACAGGCAGGCCAAGTTTATTTATTTTGTATTTTAGGGAAGTGTCTACAGGGTGTTCAGGGTCTCACTAAGAGATCGGACTCATAGTGATCTGCCTGTTTACAGCCTCCCAAGAGCTGGGATTACAGGCGTGTGCCACCTTCACTAGTTTCTATCGCTATCTCAGCATGCCCCGGGGGTAGGGCCAGCACAGCAGGCCCAGGGATCAAATCCCCAGCCCCTGAACCTGCTTGCAGGCGCTTTAATCTGCTGAGCTCTTTGGCCAGCCCTCCAAGTTTATATTTGTAATCCCATGGAAAACATATCGGAATCCTAGTGAGTTGATTTCAGCCTACCACTTCCAGTGCAACCCATGCCGAGAATGAAAACACTATGGCATATCTGTAGCTGTGGGGAGCCGAGGGGTCCTAAGTGCAGCTACAATGATGGCTATTTGCAACAAAGGCCTCAACCCAGGGTTGAACCTGGGTTTTATGAATCTGTGAAGAAGGGAGTAGCTTAAGAAGGAGTGACTGTGACAGTGGCAGGGAGTCAGTGAGTGCTATGAGCTGGGCCAGGTAGGAGGCCTGAAATCGCCTCTGCGATATGCAAACAGAAGGATCTGCAGCCACATAACACAGCTGAGATAGTGTCTAATGTTTTGGGGCTGTGCTTCAGCTCTGGTGTGTCATCTTTCAGGCCCCACAATCCCAGCTGACAGCATGGGGCATTAGTTCTTCATCCTGACCTCCAGGCTCACACCAGGGAACAGTAGGTCTCTGGGGGAGGCACATCTGCCATCTTCAAGGACTACCTTAACAGCTCAGCTGGACCAGTATGTATTGCTTAAAGCCAACTGAGAGGAAAAGGAAAGTCCTAGCCAGCTCCACACACACCAATACATGGAAATAGGGCCAGGCTCAGCCACAATGGAGACAATGGTCCTCCTTCAAGGAGAGCCAGCCGCCCAGGGGGTCCTCCACAACATCCAGACCAGGTATCCAATTATGAGGGAAGCTGGGGATCCAAAACACAATCTCAAATCCTTTAAGAGAAAGTTCCCTACTTCTTCTTTTGTGAATGGGAAACTATGGCATGGCAGTGGGCCAGGGAGCACGGGGTCACCCCAGAGTCAATACCTGACCTGAATGTTGAGCGCGTCCATGTCAAAGCAGGTCTTCTCCTTGTCTCTCTTCAAAGCCTCAATTTCCAGCCTGTTGAAGAAGCACAATGAACAGTGTCACTGGGGAACGCTCAGCGACTTTTTTCCTGGCTGTCACCTGTCGGGTGACAGCGGCTTGGATCTGCAGCCACAGACACACAGGACTCTGCCTGCCTGGGTGCTGTGTCACTGTCACTGCTCACATGAGAAGCGGGACATCTGACAAGTGTACTGGCTGAAAAGGAAAGCCAAATTTTAAAATAATAAAAACCTGAATGAGAATGACACATCCTAGTGTGGGTCCCCATTATTATTTGGGAAGCCAGTCCAACCCCAAATCAAGGGGGTGTCAGCCTGTGAAACTGATTTGCAGAGAAGTTCGATGTTGGCAGCACTGTGAAGACAGATGCCCTTGTGGTGCTCCTCAGTCACGCAGTTCAACAGGCTTTTTTTCTTCTTGACAAAGTGAGTTCAAAGCTAGCCTGACCTACATAGCAAGAGCCTGCCTCGAAAACAAACAAATAAACAAGTCCCGGCAATGTTCCCAGCAGCAGCATGAAGAACAGGCAGCCTTGCACCTGCTGAGGCTGCTGCTCGAAATGCCCAGTGCTCAGGGGAAGAGGATTTCTGCTGGATCATGAGACTGCTGACCTGTGCTAGCAACCATGCTGACCGGACACCACTGCCATCCTAACCCATCGGAGCCACATCCGCAGCATGTCAGAGGTGAGCTCATCTTGAAACGGTTCAAACAAACACAAACCGTCCCTGTAGGTGGCTGCAGCGTTAAGAGCAGAAAGCCACCCCCAGCCACTCCCCTTCCAAGGTGCAGGTCCCCACCTGCTCAACCTCACTGTGGCCCGGCCCCTCTGCCCAGGCCCTGCCTCCGCTCTGTCTTGCTGACACATCTACCTGGCAGTGACCCCAGGGAACGGCACCACTGGAATATTATCAGGAAGTAAAGAAGCAGACTATGCTAAGGGGCCCTAGCAGCAGCCCGGCCCCTACAAGACATCGCCCACCCCAAGGTGCAGCCAGGGCCCTCCATAGGGCTGGGTCTGGAGCCACCCGGGCTACGCCTGCCTGCGGCCCTGTGCATGGGCTCTGCCTCCTCCTCCAAGACCACGGGAGGAGGCCAGGCTGTGCCTGTTGGTCTACTCAGATATCCACAGGCCTCTGGACTGAGGGCGGATCTGCCACACCCTGCACATCTTGGCCCCGCAGGTCCAGGTGGCCCTAGGAGATGTGCCCTACCTCTGCTCGTCATTCATGTGCTCCGTGGCTCCAAGTTCCTGCTGAATCCTCTCCAGATCAGTTTTCAACAAAGTGTTTTCTTCAGACAGTCTCTGGAGCTCCACCCTACAAGATTGTGAAAAGCCGGTCTACTCCTCAGAGGAGGCGGGCCCTGCCTTCCCCTCCAGTGAGGTCACACTGTACTCTGACTCTGCCACAGGAAGCATGGCTTTCGCAGCCTCTGAACTGCATGAGGTGGTGGCTCTAGCACCTGGGCTTCATCACTCTGCGCAGGGCCAGCGGTAAAGTATCATAACGTCTGAGATGATACCAAATGACTCAGGACAAAGAAAAGTGTGGAGGAGACAGCAATGTCGAGCTGGACTCGGGCTGCTCTCTTCAGTGGCACCACCTTCTCTGGGCTTGGCTTTGATAGCTGGGGCTGCGGCTGACATCTGAAGCAACATCTGCACCTGCTCGGGTACTCAGTGTCTCATGCTCCGGGTCAGCCCAGGACATGACACCTGGGTGCCCTTTCCAAGCACAACTCCGTGCCGCCCTCTGCCAGCCTACGAGCTGCCAGGCCCTGTGTCTTCACAGCAGGCACATAGATCAGGCCACTGCCCCACACCCCCCTCACAGGTTCAGCAAGAAGAGGGCTACAGCCAGCCCAGGCCCACCATGGGACCCCCATACCATCCCTGTCCTTACCAGACCAGAGGTGAGGACAGACAGGTGCACTGGGCTCGTGGAGCCTGCAGTGAGGTCTGTAGCCAGCACAGCAGCATAAGACCTGCGTTTGAGAGTGGGAGACCAAGCCTGGCCTGCTGGCACACACCTATAAGCCTGGGAGGCTGAGATAGGAGGGTTGCAAGTTCGAACTCAAATCTGGTAACTTAAGTGACTTAGCAAGACCCTGTCTCAAAACTTAATTTTAAAAGGGCCTGGAATACGCTCAATATGAAGCCCATAGTACTTGAAGAAGGAAAAAAAAGTATGAAGCGCATACCTGTCATTCTCTCTCAAATCTGTCTCTCTCTCGAGAGCCCGGACGACATCTTCCAGCTGCAGAAGTTTGGTTTTCATGTCATTCTCTCTCTCTGCCATTTCTGCCTCAGTTTCCCCTCCTGGGTTTGGTAGCTCAGGGTAGGGCAGCAGGGGCTCTGGCTGGTGCTGAAGTGAGGTCGGCAGGGTGCTGTCTCCCTCTGCACCCCACAAGGGCAGCTCCTGGCTATCAGGCTGCCTTGGGCTGACCGTGGCCCTGGCAGAAGGTGCTGGCTCCTCGGGGTTGGCCCCTTTGCTCTGCCCAGGAGGCCGTACGTGTGACCCCTCCTCGCAGGGAACAGAAGTTGCCTCCTTTGCATCCAGCAGGACCCAGCAGCTCTGTCCAGGATCCGGGCTCTCTGGGGGCCCTCTGGACACAGTATCCACACAGCAGGGCTGGCCAGGCTGCTCTCCCACCGGCTCCCCTGTTTCTCTGTGGGTGCCTGGGCTCAAGGACAAGGGGCTGGGTGCCCCGTTCTGCTCCCTGCCCACAATCACTGTGGCTCCGCCTTGCAGCAGGGCCCGCAGGGCCTCTGCCTCCCGGACCAGGTCCCCCACCTGCTCACGGTGGGCACGCGCCAGTCTCTTCCTCTCCAGGGCAAAGGACCTGCACATCTGGGCCTGTTCCTCGCCCAGGGCTGCCTGCAGCCTCTGCTGCTGCTCCTGGCAGCGTGTGAATACCTCCTCCTCCCACCGCAGGTGCGCTTGGCGCAGCCAGTCCTTCTCACGCTGGTGCCGCAGTGCCAGGCTCTTGCAGTGTATGTCGTGCTGGGCTTCCAGCTGGGACAGCATCCGGCTCAGCTCCTCCGCAGCCTCCCACCTGGGGAGAAAACGTGGGTCCCACACCTCACACTCCCTGCTGTCTGCCTTTCGTTCTTCTGCTCATGATTGTCTCACAGCTGCCTGGCTGCATCTCACTTTGTGTCCCTCAGCCCAACAAGGCCTCTGTCCACACTGGGATCCTCCTCTGAGTCCCACAGGATCTGACCCTGGGGTTGGGTTCTCTATGATGCAGCTCGGAAGCCACATGCCACAGTGATGGCTTAAATGTATGGGGATCACAGTGTCACTGAATTAAAGTTTTGGCCCTCAGTCCAGAACCGGGTCTGCCTTGCCCTCCAGGTCTGTCCCTTGACTACTGCAGGGGCTGGTAAGGTAGAGACTTAGTTCCTTCAATCTCTCCTTTTCACTCTGGGTTTAAGTGCAGAGATCAAGACAAGCACAGGACAAAAAGAAAATGACATCTCTAGGTCCAGGAGGCTGATGCTCAGTCCCATAGCCTCCAAGGACTGTGTCCTTCACATAAGAACACAGGAACTAGGTGTAGTGGTGCACACCTGTAACTGCAGCACCTGGGAGGCTCAGCCAGGTGCACTGCCCTAAGTTCAAGGCCAACCTGAACTGCATAGCAAGACGCTGTCTCAAAAAATTAAACAAAGCAACAAAATGAATGGTCTAGTTTTCCAAACAGTCCTTTTCTGTGCTTAGTACAAATGTTCAAGGCTGTTCAGGAACCTCACTGACCCATTCTGCCCTGTTCTTGTCTCCCCACCTGCACCCACCACATCCAGGAAACTGAATGCAGTAAATGAAGGTGGCTGGGCCCCTCCTCTGGCCTGGCGAGGCTGAGATCAAATGCATCACAGCAGGCTGCTGCTGCCTGCGCTGTTCCACGCATGTTTCTGACTCAGTGCCACAATTCTAGGCAGCAGCTGGTCCTTTACCCACATCCCAGCCCAGCACCAGGTGCCACTGTGGATTCCCAGCAGGAAGCCCCAGACCACCCCAGCCAGTGCAGACCTGATGTGCCGCAGCTCGCCCTGGTGCTGCCACTGTGTGTGCTGGTCCAGCCACCGGGCCAGGTCGCAGAGTGCCTGTGCGCAGCAGGAGGTCAGCTGGGCCCTGGAGGGCTCAGGGCGGCCTGCTGCATCCCATAGCTGCTCCCGCAGGCCCAAGATAACTTCCTGCGACTTGGCACACAGCGCCTCCAGGTCTGCTCTCTGGGCCTCCAGCACTGCGACCTCCCGCTGCCGTGCCTGCTCCAGGTCCATCCTCTCCTTCTCGAAATTGTTCTTCATGGCCTCAATTTCCCCCTCATAGGAATTTACCTAAAAAGAAATAAGAGCAGAGCTAACCTGGAGGGACAATGCAGACATTGTCTAGCCTGGCAAGACAACGCAGAAACAAGCAGTGTCCATAGGATGGCCAACCCCAGTGTCTGCAGTCCAGGCAGTCACACGACTGACAGCAAAGCTCTGGGGGTCCAATGTGACTTCATGATAACCTCTTGATAGGGCTGGAAGGCCAGGTGGCAAGAGGAGGGCAGAGCAGGTGACAGCTGTGAGGCTCAGAGCCTTTGCTGGTCCAGCAGGCCAATGTGGGTGGGGCAGGGGTGAGGGATTGGAGCAAGGGACCCAGGCACAGGCAGGCAAGGCTGGGGGGCTCCTGTCAGCCAATACGCAAGACAGGCAGCATGGCAAGTTTGCTGAGGAGGTGGACAGGCAGCAAGCCATGGGTGGTCACCTCTTGGCCCCTCAGAAGCCCAACAGCTGACAGGAGACACACTGGTCTAGGAGGCCCTGGCCACAAAGCTGAGGTCCTTGCCACGGCACTTGGGCTCCAACAAAGTGGACATCATGCCTCCCTATAGCACACGAGCAGGGTGGAGCTCCAGCTCAGGCTGCCCTGGGCTCAACCCACGTTGTCCCCCCAACCGTCACTTCTTTCCTCTTTCCCAAGCGAGAAGCCTAGTGCACAGCCACTGGTAGTGGGCCCTGACCTTGGCCTCCAGCTGGGTCCTGAGCTCCTGGCAGTGCTGCCGCAGCCGCTCCACCATGATCTCCATTTCTAGACTCACTGGACTGGAGTCCTCTGAGAACCTGCCTGCAAACAAGAGGCCACTCTGCTTCCATCACACTGAGGACACCAGGACCCCACCAGGCCCTGCAGTCAGTGTCCTCGTTGCCTATGATGAGGCACCAGTCTGTATGCAGCATCTGGAAAGCTGTGCTCCCAACGGTGCAGAGGAAGCGGGTTGACAGGAAAGTGGCTGTGCTCAGTGGCCCACGGGTGCGCTCCACACACGCCTGCAGAACCCCGCTGTTGAGTCTATTTTCTGAGCATCCTGCGTTATTTTCCTCTCCTCTCACCAACTCAAACCCCTGGGGCATCCTGCATTATTTTAATATCACATGATGACTTGATTTCCATGGGTGAAGCTACCACTCTGGCCCTGGTGGGGAAACTGGCAGGCCAGAACTTGACTGGCAGAGCTAGGGGATGTCTCTGCACCCAACCCTGGGCTCCTGAGCAGGCCAGTAGGATGAGGCAGCCACTGCCACCCGCTCATGGCCAGGCTGTGCTAATGGCTGCAGGTCACACGTACCAGCACTGTCCTCCCTGGGCAGCAACAGGACATCCCTACTTCTTCCTGAGCTCCCTAGGGAGTTGGTCTTCTGGGCACAATTTCTTTTCATTTGATTAAGCAAGTGGCTTTAGAACAACACGGCAACCCCAACGGCTCTTAGTCACTGGTAGAGCACTGGGATCTCAGAGTCAGGATGGCACGATTGGTAGTAGAGGAGAGTGGTCCAGGCCTGGATCCCCGTAGGGACCACCCTGCACTGTCTACAGGAAGACCAGGGTAGCCAGGCCACCTGTCCTGCAAGGGGACCATGGAAAACCCCAGGTCTCCAGGGCAGCCAAGGACACTGCATCACAGCCCTCAGCACTGTCCTGATCCCTCAGCTGAGAGGAGACTGAGGTGTGGACTCTGCACACAGGCAGGGGACTCCTTGGGGAATGCAGGACAGTTCCCACTCTCACAGCTGCCTCCCTAGGTGACCACCTTCATGTCCTTGGTGGGCACTGGCTTGCCCTGGAGACTGCTGCAGGCAGATGCATCCCTTAATGTCACCATGACCTGATCCTATAAAACATCTCGTCTACCATCCTGGTCCCCCACTGTGTGAATGCCCAGCCCTGGGCCAGCCTGTGAGCCCATCTTCACCTCACCTTGTGGGCTCCTACTTGCTGGGCGGCTTTCAGCTTCCCCGGCAGGGCGCTGCCAACTCCGGCTCCCAGGTGCCCGCAGGCTCTCCAGCTTGGCCTGCAGCTCATCATTCTGGTCCTGCAAACCCTGAGAGCAGAGGAGACACTTCCTCCAGTGCTACAGCCACTAGCTGGCTTGGTACAGCTCTGTCCCCAGGCAGCATCCATCGTGGGATGAGCCAGGATGAGTGGACTCCCAGGCCACAGCTGTGTCACAGCTAAGCAGCACGATCACTGTTGACTTTTTTGTGCCCTGTGTCATGTGAATGAAGAAATGGACAGAGGGAGACGTGCAGAAAGCCCACACCTGAACTACAGGCACTTTGCTGAGCATCAAGTGATCTTGGAAGGTTGGTGACATATAGGAAAGACACAGGGTGACCACTTCGGAACCTGCAGGCTGCACAGGGTGACTGAAGCAGAAGCAGTGAAGCCCAGTCAAGCCCCTGCGCTTGGTCTCTGAGATGCTTCTCTGTGGAAGGAACCAGGCTCACTGGGGAAACTGGATTCCAGATGAGTGCAGGACCCGCCTGGGCACCCAGTGACAGGAGGGCCAGCACCATCTGCTCAGAGAGAGCAGCAAGTGACAAGAGTGTCCCAGGATGCAGCAGGCAGCCGGGACACGCTCACTGCCAAATCCCACACAATCTGGGCCCGGATCACTAAATATACAAATAAACTTTAAACCATTTTGGAGAAAAGGGGAATTCAAGGCTCCAGGCCAGTGACAGACAGAACTTCTGCAATGACAGCTGAAGGACAACAGCATGACAGATGGGGCACCAGCTATTGGAAAAACACAGCATTTTTCCAATCACCATAGTAAAGACCGAAAGAATTGCCAATGATGCTAAGATTTTGTGGATGGGCAGGAAGGTTACCTGGCCCAACAGGGTCCCCTGCTGACTGCTCAGCAGTGCAAGGAGAAAGACACGGCCGTCAGTCATACACTTCGGGAAGCAGTGACGCCTCAACCAGGTAGTCAGCACCACCGATGAGGCTGCTGGACACAGCCTGCCCTCCCAGCAGCCGGCAGAAGAGGCCCAGCCTCTGCTGAATGAAAGCAATCGCCAGCAACCACTGTGCTCAGCACTTCCCCGTAGTTATCAGGAAATAACCAGAGAGAGGACAGAGAAGCGCTAAGTGTTTGAGGGAGCATGCGCGCTGCTTGCCCTGAGTTGATCTTCCCGTACTGCAAGCACGGGCTGAATTCTCATATTGTGCCCGTCAGGCTGTTCAAGGATGGGTCAGTTAACACAATTTTAAAGGTGGGTGTGGTAGCACAGGCCTGCGATCCCAGCACTGGAAACCTGAAGGCAGGAGAACCTCAAGTCTGTGCTCAGCATGGGCAATTTAGCAAGACCCTGTCTCGTAAGGAAGGAAGGAAATAAATAAATAAATAGCTGGCGCTGGAGGTTATAGCTCAGTTTGAAAGCCCTAGATTCAAATGCCAGCTGGAAAAATAAATAGGAAAATGTAAACAAATAAACCCCCTGCAAAATAGTTTCATAGTTCTATGAAACAGCAGGAGGTGGAGGAGGGTCTGCGGTCTTCAAAATAAACAATGTCCTAAGAGACAGAGGCAGGCTGTGGGAATGTTCCAGAGGGACCGGATAGCTGACGGCGACCAGGTTCTGGGCTCCTCCTGTCAGACAGAGTAGATGCCCCAGGAGGGCTAACAGGTCCGGGGGCTCCCTCCTTGAGTTTAGCAGGGTGCTGGGGGCTCCTGTCCAGGAAACACTGCCCCACTTTGTAGCTTGTGCAAATTTCTATGGTGTGAACCAATTTTTTTTTTTTTTTTTTTTTTTTTTTTTTTTTTTTCTTGGTACCATTCCTGAACATTTAGCAATCTGCGTGCTTGTGCAGGACCTCTCTCCCCACAGCACTGCAGGGGGACAGGAGCCTCCTTCAGGGAGCATACGCACTGCGGCTGAAGGCAGAAACGACCACACATGCACACACACCTTGCCCAAGTGTGCAAGAATGTGGGCGTGGGGAGCCTGAGCATAAGGGATGCAGGTGCTCACTGCACTGTTTTTGGTGTTTGTAGGGTTAAATTTGAAATCTTTTTTTTTTTTTTTGGCGGAACCAGAGATTGAACTCAGGCCCTTTCTACTGAGCCACCTCCCTGGCCCCACTGAAATCATTAAATTTTTTTTTTTTTTTTTTTTTTTTTGGTCTTTTTGAGACATGGTCTTACTATGAAGCTCAGGCTAAATTCACTTTGTAGCCCAGGCTGGCCTTGAATTTGCTGCAAGCCTCCTGCCTCAGCCTCCTGTGTGCTGGGACTACCGGTATGGACCACCATACCCAGCCTGAAATTACTTTCTTTTTTTGTATTTAGGCCAGGGTGTACAGGGTCTCACTATGCAGATTGGACTTGTAGTGATCCACCTGTTTACAGCCTCCCGAGAGCTGGGATGACCAGCACGCACCACCACGCCCAGTCTCACTTGCTGTCTCAGCGCACCCCGGCGATGGGTCTGGCAGGCAGGCCTGCGGATTAAACTCCTGATCCCTGGGTTTGCCTAAGCAGGTTCTTTAATCCTGTGTGCTATCTGGTCAGCCCTCTGAAATTACTTTCAAGCAAAAGGTTTTATTTTATTTTAGTGTGTCTTTGTAAGATAGGGTTTCGCGGTGCAGTTCAAAATGGCCTTGAACTCACCTTGTAGCTCAGACTGGTCTCAAATTCACAGAGATTCTCCTGCCTCAGCCTCCTGAGTGCTGGGGTTATAGGTGTGTGCCACCAGACCCAGCACCAAAGGATTTTTAAGTAGCCTAAATGTTGGAATATTCTTCAAATACAGAAAGGGAAAGTTTCTAAAATAGATTTCCATAAAAATGTAAGATATCTCCGTTGATGTCTAAAAATTAAAATCGTGAGGCAAAGGTGAAAGAGTAGCAGGGTCAGGTTGAGGGGTTGACATGTGAGAAATCCACACAGAGCTAGCGTCTGAGTCCTCCTGGCAAGCTCAAGAGAAGGAGACACCAACCTGTGACCAGACCCCCGTGCCACCCTGGGCCCAATTGGCCCCCAACACACCAGCCGCACCCACAGGGAGGGTAACCCGCAGGTCACCTGGGATGGCAGAAGGCAGAAGCAGTGCAGAGGGAGGGGATGCAACACCCAGGGACAGGCTTGCAGCTGCAGGCTCGGTGAGCACCCCCCCCCCCGCATCCCGCACTCTGCCGCGGCAAGCGCAGCAGGCACAGAAGCGGGTGGGCGGGCGGGCGACCGCTAAGGAGTCACCTGCGCCCCGCCGCAGGCCACCCTACGGAAGGATGACCAGCTTCGAGGTCAGAAGGTGTCCCCAATATCTACTCAATTTTCAGATGGCAGGAAATTAGTTCTAGCTAGTAGTTGTGCCCTTAGCAGCAACCATAATAGGTTCTCAAAAATAAGGGGATTTTCAGCATGAGGTGACGTGGGGTGAAATCTGGTGGCCCACTCTACACTAAAGGCCGGGAGCACTCGTTGCACTACACCAGCTGTCCATTCCACCTCCACACTGACACCGACCACCACAGCCCCCCAACCGTGCCTCAGACAGGGATAGACGGGTGCTTGGCTTGGGAACGTCACTCATAGTTATCACTACAGCAGATCTGCAGGAAAGTGAGTGAACAGCAATCTCTAGTCACCTTAGATTTTTCTTATTTTTCTCTATGGGTTTTTTTATTTTATTTTATTTTTATGTTATTTTATTATTATTTTTTTTTTTTATATTTTTAGAGAAGGGTCTACAGGGTGTTCAGGGTCTCACTACTAGATGGGACTTGCAGTGATTCTCCTGTTTACAGCCTTCCAAGAGCTGGGATTACAGGTGTGTGCCACCATGCCCAGTCTCAATTGCCTTCTCAGCATGCCCCGGGGGCAGGGTCGGCAAGGCAGGCCTGGGATTGAACCCCTGCCGCTGCACCTGCTTACAGGTGCTTTAATCCACTGAGCTATTTGGCTGGCCCTCTGTAGGGTTTCTCGTAAGAAATATTTTTTTTTTTTTGCTTTTATCTTGTTTACGGTGCCTGAGTTTGAACCGAGGGCACACATATTAAAGTATGGGCTCTCCGCTGAGTTACACCTCCAGACCTTATCTGGGATTTTATTTATTTAGTTATTTTTGGTACTGCAGATCAAACTCAGGACCTTGTACTTGCCAGGCAGGCACTTGTGCTGCTGAGCTATCGCCCTCTCTGGGGTTTTAAATGGCTGTGGTCTGAGGCTATGTATGACTTCTCCTTGGTCACTTGGCAATGTGGCCTGTGGAAGACTTCATGTGTACAAAGGTCCCCCGTTTCTACCAAGGCAATGCAGGATTCTACTAAGTCACTAGCCGGACAGCCTTTGCCGGTCCCTGATGTTGGGCTTGTGTTCTCCCCAGGTTCTACCATTCGAGCTTCTGTGGACACAGCCTTCTTAATGCCAAGGATATCAGAGGGGCGGATGGGCCAAGATGGGGCCCATCTCTTATTTTCTGAGATGGAGTCTCACTCTGCTGCCCAGGTTGGCCTCCAAATCCTTGGCTCATGGGATGGTCCTACCTCAGTTTCCTGTGCAGCTAGGACTACAGGTGCCCACCACCATGCCCAGCTTCAAGGGCGAAGTTTTTTGATGGTGCTTGTCTTTAATCACACATACATGCTTTGCAAAATGTTTTCTTATGAGTTTTACATAAATTACCTTTTGGTAAATTAAATTCTAACCAGGTGTGTTTAATAAGGACTATGTGATAAATTACTTTATCAATTGAAGAATCGTTCTGTATTATTAATCAGCCCAACTCAACTGTTCTGCCTGCTCCACCTTCCTCCTGTTCTGAAATGTCTTTTTTTTTTTCCCCTGCATTTTAGGGTGTTCAGGGTCTCACTACTAGATCAGACTCAGCTACTGATTCTACTTACAGCCTCCCCATTGCTGGGATTACAGGTGTGCGACACCATGACCAGTCTCAATTGCCTTCTCAGCATGCCCCGGGGACAGGGCCAGCAAGGCAGGCCTGGGATTGAACCCCTGCCGCTGCACCTGCTTGCAGGTGCTTTAATCTGCCGAGCTATTTAGCTGGTCCTGAAATGTCTTTATGAGGACTGAACCTGCATGTAGAACTGGAAACCCTGACACCGCTCGACTCAGCAGTCCCCCCCCCCCCCCCCGACGGGTTACAGCCTCGAGCAGCAGCTCTGGCTGGAACAAATCCTCCTGCAGCCCTCGCAGGACTACCCTGCAGAAACACAGAGTCTGCCTACATAGGAGAGCGAAGGACAAGGCCTGCCATGCCACAGCAGTGTGAACCAGGACTGTCCTTGGGGTGGGCTGGGGTCCCAAGGCCATTTGGGCTACCTACCCGGCACTTGAGCTCGTATTCCTTCAAGATAGCTGTGAACCGCTCCTCCTGTGCCCTGAGCTCCAAGCCCTGTGGCTCCAACTGGAAGTCAAAAGATGGACACAGTAGCATGCAGAGGTGTTGGCTCTGCTGAACCCCACAGCACACAGGAGGGAGGCCAGGCTGTGGTGGGGAAGGCAGGCACAGCAGCTTCCCCAGCTCTGGCTGAGGATATGGCTTCCTCCCAGCAGCAGGCAGCGGCAGGCACAGCCTCCAGTGTTCTCCCCTAGCCTCCAGGTGTCCCCTTGCTTGCAGGACAGGCACAGGATGGGGGCTTCCCCACTGTCACCCTGGGAAGGGTCTCGGGCCCAGCAGACACACTGGCCAGAGCCTTTGTGGGGTAGTTAGCAGAAGGTAGCCATAGTTACAGACCATGACACAGAAGCAAGGTCACCTTGCTGATTTTCTCTCCAGCCCAAGGACCTCTCAAAGACAAACCCTCAATTCAGTCACCCATGCACCTTTCTTCATGCCTGACACCTCCCACAACCTAGGGCTCCCCGGAGGGCCTTGCCTTCTCCCTCATCACGAACTCCAAGTCGCCCTGCAGTTTCATGACCAGCTTCTCTGAATCCGAGAGCTTTCCCACCACCTCCAGGATCTCCTGCTGCAGCCGGCTGTTTTCCTACAAGACAGACGGTGTTGGCGATGCTCAGGATGGCACGAGGGGGTGGGCATGACTTGGCTGTGTGGGAGGCAGGTGCCTGACTGCCAAGCCTCTGCCCTGGAAGGCAAGTGGGCAGGTGGCCCCCAGCCTCCTGGGGACAGTCCTGGGTCCCTCCCAACCTCATCATCTCACTGCACTGCCTCTCCTCGTCCCACGAGAGGACCTCTGAAAGGTCACGAGTGAAAATGCAAGAAAGGGCTGCTGATGCAGCATTTCTGAGATGTACTCAAAAGCTAGTTTGAAATTGTAGCAGTAAGCAGAAGGCTGGCATCTTCAGCCACTGGAGATGGATCTGAGAAGACACAATCCTTGGTGATGCAGCCTGTAATCCCAGCGCTCTAGGAAGTGCAGGCAGGAGGATTATAAATTTTAGCTTCGCCTCGGCAACTTTTTAAGACCCTGTCTTAAAAATTAAAAAAAAAAAAAAAGTTTTTTGTTTGTTTGTTTATTTAGTGAGACAGGCTCTCACTACATAGTTCAGGCTGACCTCCAATTTACAGCAATCCTCCTGCCTCAGCCTGTGGAATTCAGGGATTACAGGAATGCATCACCACACCCAGCTCAAAGTCAAGAATTTAAAAAGGCTGGAGATGTAGCTCTGTGTAAAGAGATCCTGAATTCTATCCCCAGTACCACAAAACAAAATAAAAAACCAAAACTACCACCCCCCCAAAAAAAAAACCCCAAAACAAAAAATGAATGTCCCCATGGAGAGCCAGGTTGGTAGCTGTGTTCATGTCCTACAGGTGCTGATGTCAGGTGTGAAGTCGCCTTAGGAGGAGGGTGAGAGGAGCAGGAGCCAGGCACCGGTCCCTCTGCCTCTGGCCTTGGCTGTTCTTGCAGCTCTGGGCAGGTGTATCTGGCACAGGACACACCCAGCCTGGGCCACTGGTCAGAGTGAGAGGGAGAAGGAAGGGCGCTGCCTTTCTGCTGCCCACGTGCCACCCACCTTTGTGGCCAGCCCCAGCCTGTGGCGCAGGCTGGCCTCCTCGGCCCGCAGGTGGCCCAGGTCTGTCTCCAGCACGGCACTCCGCCTGCAGGACTGCTCCCAGATCTGCTCCCGCTCCGCCTCCGCCTCTGCCCGCAGGAGACTCAGCCTTCCTCGGTAGTCCTGCTCCAGGCGCCTGCAAGGCAGTGTGGCTCGCTGGGCTCTGGGTGCTGCCCACTCCAGCACCTCCCACCGCCACTGTGCTGCCCATAGTCTTGTTTTTATCCAGGTCAGGAACCCACCCACCACCCCCAGAGTGGGGTGACCTGGGGCAAAGGGCGTCCTGTGTCACAGGGCTAAAGCAGCAGCTGCCCTCCACCCAAAGGTGAGGAAGCGGGCAGAGTAGCATGGGAGGAGCCCACTGATGCTCTCTGCCTGGGTCCACCTCCAGGGCCGACTGCTGGTGCCCAGCACTCGACCTCAGTTGTAGCACTGCAGACCCTGGGTGGGTGAGGACAGGTGGGTTTTGTTTTGCTTTTTTTTTCTGAGGTGACACAGCTGCCACCAGGCCACTCAGCCAAGCCAAGAAGAGCAAGATGCTGCTTGCTGATGCCCAGCTGTGATCTGGCCAGTCCTGCCTGCTCCTGGCCATGGAGCTTCCCTGGCTGCCTGTCTGGACCGGGAGCAGGGCCACCATGCTGAGGGGCCCTTGCATGGGCCAGAACCCACTCGATCCTCCGCTCTGTGAGCTGCTCCAGCGCTGTGTGGCTGTCATCCATCTCCTTCGCGAGCTCCAGGCTCCTCCTCTCAGCCTGCTCCAGGTCCTGCCTGGCCTTGTCTCGCTCCTGCACCAGTTGCTCTGCCTGCTCCCTGCAGGGCAAGGATACAGGTCACATGGAGACCCCATCAGCCTCTCTGAACCTCATATCCATGACTGAACTAACAGGTGTTGTGAACCTGTTCCACAGCTTCTGCTCAGTTATGCCCACCTTATAGGTGGGAAGACTGAGGCAGGGGCCAACGAGGTATCTGAAAGGACCTCAGTCCCTGTGAGCCTGGATCCACATCTGCAGAGAGCTTGGGACATATGGGCACCATCTGCAGCCCCTCCTGTCTCAGCTGGAACAAGAACTCTTGGACATCTACAACTAAACCAGTCATAGGCACAGGCAGGACAAAGCTGGTCTTCCTGTTGTGGGCACAGTCCTACACCCAGCACCTGCACAGGTGAGTCCCTGGAGCAAAGGGCGACTGACGTGTGACCCTGCCTCTGGCTGCCCAGCCACCAGGCACCCACCCTGCCCAGGGAGGAGACCCCGCTTCCCTCTGCCCCTCTCTGAGTGTTTGCAGGGCTGCCCGAGGTTGGATGCCTTCTGCCAGGCCCTGCCCCAGCACTGTCTTCCAGCTCAGTTGTGGTCTCTGCCATCTTTTCTGCAGCCGTAGAACATCCGCAGGACATCCTGATCATGCTCAGGATAGAGACCTGCCGGTCATCCATGCAGAGGCCCAGTGCCCCTGAAGACAGTCTCCGCTTTTTTTTTGGTGTATTTTAGTACAAGGTCTACAGGGTCTCTCTGTGTAGATAGGACTCATAGTGATCCTCCTGTTTACAGCCTCCCAAGTACTGGGATTACAGGCGCGCGCCACCACGCCCAGTCTAGTCTCTATATTCTTGGCAAGATGTCCTTCTTCATTTACTGGCCTGACCCGCAAGCCTGAATCTGCTTATGGAAGCAGCTATGTTCCTGGCCACCTGGCAGGTCACTGCCTCTCTGCTACAAGCTGCATTAATGAATGCTACTAGGCAGGTCCTTGTTCTTCTTCTTTTTTTTTTTTTTAAATTATTTATTTATGTGTGTGTGGGGGGGGCAGCTCAGTCCACCAGGGGGTGGGGCGGGCTGGCATGTGGTGCTGGGGGATTGAACCGTGGTCCCTGTGCTTTGCTAAGCTTGTTCTAAGTAGGTGCTTTAGACCACTGAGCCATCTCACCAGCCCCCCTGTTCTTCTTAAGCCTCACCAGATGGTCATAGAGAGCTTCCCACCAGCGGACAAGGGGCCAGCAGCCCTTCAGTTCTGTGCCCTCAGAGACTGTCCTTGGATCCATGGGCCCCCAGCCCTGTGGGCAACCTCCTCTGTTCCACACTGCCCTTTCTCAACCCAGGAGCGGGGAACAGGGCACTCGTTCCAGGACCTAGCCACTGGGGGAGGAGTGGGAGCCAATACTGCCTGTCCTGGGCTTCCTGGACTGGACCTTGGCCTGGCTGGGCCTTGGCGGCTCTTACTGGTGGTAGCTCAGCTCCTGGCGGTAGCAGGCCAAGGCCGCCTGCTGGATGATGCTGTCAACTGTCAGGAGCTCATTGTCTAGGGCCCAGGTTAGCTCCAGGAGGTCAACCTTCTCATCCAGGCTGAAGTCCAGGCTCTAGAAACAACAAAGCACAAGGGTGAGGATGCCTTGGCCATGTTCTTGTCCCCTGGGGCACAAGGGCAAGGCCTCTGTGGCTGTCACAACCAGCACCTGGTCTGTGAGTCTCTGCCTTGGGAGGTAGCTCCAATGTCGCAGTCCTGCTCCTGTCACGATGTGACCCCTCTTATTCCTCTAGGAATGTGTTCTCTTGTCCCTTTGGTGATAGATAGCTCCTACCCCTGCTATGATGTGGCCTTATGTCCCTACCTCAGCGGTGGGAGAGACGGAGACTGGACAGAGTTCCCTCCCTGGACAAAGGCAGGGAGGCCTCCCAACCAAACACCTCACACCCTGTCTCCCCGCTGCCCACTCAGGCCCTGACACTGCCCTCCGCTTAAGCCTCTGGCTTTGCCTCACACTCAAGGGTGAGGGTCCTCTGAGAAGGAGCAGGTAGTGGTTTTGTTGATTGAAAGCAACCTGCCACAGGGGATCCCCGGCTAGCTTTACCCTAGAAAGAAGTACATCCCACCCAGTGGGGTTTTAAAAGATGAAGTTAAAAAAATGTATGACGTGGGTTGGTTTTTTGTTTGTTTGTTTTTGAGATACGGTCTCACTGTATAGTCCAGGCTGGGCTCCAACTCACTATGTAGCCCAGGCTGCATTTGAAATCCCACAATCCTGCCTCAGCCTCCCAGGTGCTGGGATTGTATGTGTGCACCCACTGTGCACCCTGGCCTGTCATGGGTATTTCAAAAAACAAACAAACAAACAAAGCTACAAACACCCCCACACCCTCCAGCTTCACACCCTCACAGTGATCTGTGACTGTCCAGGGCTGGGGTGCGTGGCTCTTGCTTCTCACATCAGCTCTGTATCCCCCCAGCCAGCTGTAGACTTGTCCCACTGCCTGCTTTGGGGCAGCCACTGCCTGGCCGGGAGAACATTTGTTCATGTGGGGGCTGCACGGAGGCCCAAGAGAAAACAAAGGCCATGGCCGCAGTAAGCGCCACCCTGGCCCCATGCGAGTTGTCCCCACATGCTCTGGTGCTGGCTGCTAGCTGCCTGCAGTGCCCTGTGGGACCCACCCGGCTGCCCTCAAATTCCTGGCCCAGCAAAGCTGTGGTCTAAGAATGGCAGCTGCTCTGCAGTGAGTGGCTGGGCGACCACACCCTGTGGGGCACAAACCTGACACCCTGTGGGAAGTGGCAGAGCCCCTGCAGAGCGGGAGGTTGGCAGACTCCTCAGGACTACAGCAAGGCCAGTCCAGCAGGCGCCTGGCCTTGGAGCTCTCCCTGTTAACTACAGTGCAGGTAGCTCTGGGGATGTTTTGCTTTCGGCGGTCACAGCAAGACACTGAGACCTTGCCCTCTGGACTCCATCGGCACACACTTCCACCTTTCTACTGTATATAAATAGATGCTGGCCGTGCTGGTTGTTGCTGCCTCCTGTCACAGAGGTCAGGTCCCGCCTGGTCCCAGCTTTCTTTTCAGTGTGTGTCCAGTTTTTTTCTTAACCTCTCATCACCCCTTTCAGTACCCTGCTGGCTGCACAGATCACAGCAACACCCTAACACCAAGCCCCAGTGGTGTGTGGGGACAACTACTGCATCTAGCAGGGCCCCTTAGGACTGTGACACTTTCTTCTGTGTTACGTGGCACCTCCCTCCTCCACGTAGCAATGGGGAGCACTGTGCAGAGCGCTGAAACCTTCCTTCAACTAGACTTTCTCAGGCTGTTGTTTTTGCTATACTTGGTTTACTATTTAAAAATTTCTGAATTTCCATAGCAAAATTTGAAGGAATAAGGTTTCCTAGTGGACTTTTCCTACATGAGGTTCTCTACACAGAGCCTGTGTCCTGCTGTGCCCTGGTCCGGGGTGCTCTGCCTACCCTCCTCAGCAAGCACACATCCCCCACCTCCCGTGAGGCCCCTGCTACCCGGGTGCCACCCAAACCTGCAGGATCTCCCGGCCACTGTGGATGCCCTCCTGAGCCCAGATGGCGATGACCTGCTCCGGAAGGGCGAAACCGCTGCCATCGTCGACACTGGAGAAGAGGCGCAGGCCGCAGCTCATGGATGCAAGGGAGGAGGTGGTGGTGGTGGCTGTGTGACAGCCGCTCTCCTCCGGAATCTGCCCCTGGGGAGGAGAGGACACCCTGAACACAGGCGTCCGAGACTCAGCAGCTGGCCTCAGTCCTCACCAGCACTGTCCACTCAGCACCTCACACACGAACAGCACACTGCCCCCTGGAGGACAGGAAAGAAGCTGGGCACCGTCAGGGCTCTGCCAGGGTCACATGGCATGGCAGGGGACACAGCTAGGTTGTCCCTGGTCCTGGCCCCTGCTCCTGTGCCATCCACGGAAGCCTCAGGCCTGTGTGCTTGCCCTCAGCTCAGGTCAGTGGTGTCACATGGTGAAGGACCATACGGGGTCTGGCGTTTCTGCCCCAAGCTGGTGAGCGCACGCTGGTCCTTCAGAGCCAGATTCGGAAGGTGCACAGAAAGCCAGGGAAGGCCAGGCCAAGGAGCCCAAGCAGAAGCTATTTCCAGGAGCCTGCTCACCAGGAGCTGTGTGCGTGACGCCTGAAGGCAAGCCCGACTCTCAGCTCCAGTCCTGTGACAGTGGCCTCCCACTGTGCTCTGCCCCCACCAGGCCCTGCCCAACAAACCTCTGCTGGCTGGGACCCCAGGGCTCAGAGTGACAGTGGGTCCACACCCCAGGTGCTTCTTCTCTCTCCCTGCAACCCTGCTCATGTGGGTCTGGCTCTGAGGTCACCTTGCTCTTCCCCCATTGCCTGACTGTCCCTCCTCTGTCTCTGCTCCACCCCATGAGCCCAGCAGGCAGCCATGTCCACCTGTTCTCTATACCCAGTCTCTGAGGCACCATGCCTGCCCAGGGGAAGGGCAGCTCCGTGTATCCTGCATGGCCTGCAGGTCCTGGGCACTCGGTACCCAGCTGCTGCCCAATGGAGGTGCTGTCCTTGGAGGCCGCAGCATCCACAGGGCAGGGCCTAGGTGTTCTGCAGACTCCAGCAGGCCCTGTTCCTCCCAGCCTGACTGTGTCACTACAGTGTGCACAAGAAGTCCAGGCACGAGCGAAGCAATGTGTTACACATGGGTTTGCAGACACATGCAGTGGGTGTGGACAGGGAGGAGTGTAACAGCAGGTGTACACGCAGTGTGTACACAATCAGTGCATGTGCATGGTGTATGTGTGCATGCGGTGTGTGCACGCATTTGTCATGTATGTGGGGGATACACACAGCCAACAGGTGGGAGTATCTCAGGGCTGTCCAGGCAGGTTAGCATGCATACAATAAAACATGTAAAGTAGACGTGTCTACACTTAAGTGTGGTGCAATGTATGTATACAGTTGGTACACAGGCATGGTGCATGTGTGTGCATGCAGAAATGTCCACATGCAGTGCCTGAGTATGGTGGGTATCTAGACAGTATATGTGGACAGGTGGTGTACACACATCATGGTGCATGTGTGTGTGCAGAGTGTGGGCTGAGTGACCGGGGCAATAGTGCCCAGGAGCTGCTATAGCTATCCTGAGCTGGGGGCTGCACTACCTGGCTCCAGCAGGTTGGGGGGTGCCAAACAGGAAAGCAGGCTCCTCACAGGCAAGCCAGGAGGGACAGACATGAAGGACCTCAGGCACAAAGAGAAGCGGTTGGCCTGCAGGTGACTGCTGGACACCTCCGCAGGGCTGTCCCCAGCATGGCCCCTGTGTCCTGGCACTGGTCACAGTAACCACTGGGCAGAATCCAACACTCAGTGACCCCTTCCCTCTCATGGCAGCGAGCCAATGAAAGAAACCAGGTCACAGGACCCAGTAAGGGATCGAGACCATCCTACCAGTCATCCTTGGGAAGGGGTTTCCCACTGAGATCCTTGGTAAATGTACCCAAAGATGACACGGAAGGGGCTGCTGTGATCCTCCACTATAGTGATCCCCTGAGGCCCCAGGTGGGTGCCTGGCCTGTCTCACTTCACAGAGGAGCCTGGGTCTCAGAGATGGCAAGGGACTCAGCCCACAACACACAGGTCAGCCCAGATCTGTGTCACCTCCCCCACAACACACACACACACACACATGCATGCTCAGCCAGTGTGGTGATGCTGTACTGTAGCCACAGGAGGGTTAGACTTAAGATGTCCCGTTTACCTGGCAGTGGGACCAGGGTCTGCTTGGCTTGCCCAAGCTAGATTCCAGAAGCAGCATGGGCTCATGATGGCACAGGCCGAGCTGAAACTCTGCAAGACTCACTCTGCCGTCCCCATCCTGGTCCAGTTTGTGGAACAGGTCTTTGAGTTCCTGGACCAAAGATGCTGCCCATCAGGCTCTGAGGGGTCTTGCCTGGGTCTAGGCAACCTGTGGGGCTGTCTCTGGTTCCTGCCCAGCTTGAACTGGCCTCAGGAAGGCCCCCACCTGGATTTCACTCCCATGAGTGGGCACCCCTGGACTTCCTGCATGCTGTTTGGTGGGGACTAGAATTCGCTGCACACTGAGAGATATGTGGCGGGCATGGCCCCGGCTCATGGTCCAGCAAAGGCGCTGGGCCCCTGGTCTCCATGGCCACCCAGGATCACACACAGGCCTAGAACCGCCTCTCTTGGGTAGAACAGAACTGGGCCATGCCCAGAAGACCAGGGCCACTCCAGGCAGAGGAAGGACCACGAGCGAGCAAAGGCATGACATCTGCCCAGCATGCTGGGGGAGGGGGTGCAGGGAGGGCAAGAAGCCTGCGAGACTGGGCCGCACTGTCACAGAGGGGCCTGGAGCTCAGCTCCAGAAGAACAGGAAGCCACCCAAGGTTTTGAAGCCATAGAGCAGCAGGACTGAATCTGTGCTGTAGTGTGCAGGACTTTTCCAGATGAGTAGAAGCCGTGCCCTCATGCATCACTGGGCCCGGGGCTCTTACCTCGTCCTTGAGGCCATGGAGCCCAATGCTCCGGCAGACCACAGCCAGCTCCTGCTCATCCAGGTGGCCACGGCAGCCAACTCCCAGCTGCTCCCAGATGCCCTGGACCTGGCTCTGCAGTGAGGCGGAGGACCTTTGGGCGCTCCCAAAGACCTCAGGGCCCCATGTTTGCGGCTTCCCTGGAGCAAGGGGGAGCCACAGTTAAATCCCACTGAATGTGCATGGATTAATCAGCTGTAGGGAGAAGGAGATCCCACCATCTGCATCGATGTGAGAGGATCTGGAGACACGAGGAATGTGCAGCAGAGGAGGACATGGGTTAGCAGGGCCGGCTGGAGGCAAAGCTGCTCACTAGAGGAAGCAGAGGGCTGCACTTCAGCGATGCTTATGCTGGAGACGCATGCACGGCATGGTGACCACAGTTAACCATGTAACTGATGGGTTTCTGCCCATATGGAACTCTGCCAGGGTCACTATGGCAGGTGATCCAACACGGCGTCAGGTTACAAAACAATGTCAACAGCTCCCAGACCAATTTCCATGTTCTTCTAGTCCCAAAATGGACCTTTTGTCTCCTTTTCCCATGCGTTTCAATGACCCTCCAATCCTCTCTCGATGTGATGCTTCGCTTGCCCATATAAACTCCACCTCTAGTCCAACCCACTAAAAACCCCGCTCCAAGCTCCCTCCGCCGAGGGTCCTTGCAGTCTCCTACAGCCCTCCCAGGCCGACGATAGTGGTTTTCTTTCTACCTGCCAGCGTCTCTCCAGAGCAGCAAAAATCGTACAGTAATGACTGTGCAATCTGCTCAGAGAGCAGATCTCAAGAGCACGCATGCGCACACACACACACCTGCATGCGTGCACAGGCACGATATCTATGTGTCATACATACACATGTGTTCGCACACACACAACCACATGAGGTAGGTACGGCAAATCACTAGCATGTGTGTTTATCCAATCAGCATGCTCGCAGCTTAAATATCTGCAGCTTTGTCGGTCAGTCACACCTCAGGAAAGCTGGGAAGACCAACAGTCAGGACTGTGCCCGGGCAGAAGCACATGGATGCTGGTGATTTACTCTGAAGCCAGGTGTGCCGGCGATGGACAAGGATGCACGGGTGTCAGGGAGTGGAAGGAGGTGGTGGCAAGGACACGCACTTTCCCACTTCACATTTGTAAATTTTCATATGAAATTTCCATGTTCACCTGGGGAAAGCGCTTCCTCAGGGCAGGCACCTACTAGGTTAGAGCCTGAGAAGCCCACAGAGGTTGGACAGACCAGCTTTTCCTGTTTTAGTTCCACAAATCAATCCCTCTTTTCTTTTACAGTGCTCAGGATCAAACCCAGGGCCTCACTTGTGCTAGATAAGCACTCTAACACTAATCTACGTCCTCACCCCAAGATCAGCTCTTTAAAAATTTAATTTTTTGAAACTTTCAGAGCCATCCAGAACGAAGAGAGAAACACAGCCAAGCCCCGCACACCCGCCCTTGTCTCGGTGACGTGAAGACACGTGCCACGTGGTGGACACTGCTCGCCCTCCACACCTGACCTCAGAACTCGGCCTGTACCCTGCCGCGGGGTCACTGGGACCTCGTGGCCCCGGGGCAGCTCCTTGGGGATGACACAGGCCTCTTGCCCTGAACAGCCTCTCGGGGCTCCTGTCATCCCCACCTGCTTTGCTGCTATGCTCTTCGACTCCTGCTGCAGCTTCACCCCAGCTCATAGGTCACTCCGTCTTCCCCTTCTACCCTACCTGCCACAGGTGCCGGTCTGTCTCTCCAGTCAGACCTTAGGACTCTTAATATTTGGGTTTTTTATATCATGAAAGTATGACAGGCAAATATAAGATAATTAACACACAAAAAAGTCCTCTTCATTCCAAAGCCTCTGGGCCCCTCCCTGTAGGCAACACTGTAAGAATTGTTCCTGACTTCCGAAACACTGCTGTGCCATGGGCACTGTCCCTCCTGTCCTGCTTACTCTGTGCACCTGGTCCCCATCCAGCCCCCTCCTATAGGCAGTCAAGCCCCTTTCCAGGCCATGCAAGGCTCTGAGGACCAGAGTCACATCTCTGGCTCTCCTGGGACCAGCAGGACCCCGGAAGGTGCTGAGGTGGAGGTGTCTCCTTTCCCCAGCGGGGCTGTGCCCTGGTCCAGTGTGGCAGGAGGAGCCTAGCTGACAGCCTGACCATGCTTGCAATGGGGCCACCTGGGACTGCGCAGAACACAGCACAGCCACGACCAGAGGCTTCTTCCTCGGGATCAGGAGGCTGAGGACTGAGTGACAGCCTCCCCAGTCCCCAGGAACACTGTCCATGGGGTTGCATTGTGCCCAAGAGCCAGCTCCTGGAATGTCCAGGCCCCGGCCAGAGGCAGAGGACAGCAAATACGAGGCCACGAGTTACCTTGGGCTTCGAACAGCTCATCCTGAGGTTGTCCCTGTAGGCAACACTGTAAGAATTGTTCCTGACTTCCGAAACACTGCTGTGCCATGGGCACTGTCCCTCCTGTCCTGCTTACTCTGTGCACCTGGTCCCCATCCAGCCCCCTCCTATAGGCAGTCAAGCCCCTTTCCAGGCCATGCAAGGCTCTGAGGACCAGAGTCACATCTCTGGCTCTCCTGGGACCAGCAGGACCCCGGAAGGTGCTGAGGTGGAGGTGTCTCCTTTCCCCAGCGGGGCTGTGCCCTGGTCCAGTGTGGCAGGAGGAGCCTAGCTGACAGCCTGACCATGCTTGCAATGGGGCCACCTGGGACTGCGCAGAACACAGCACAGCCACGACCAGAGGCTTCTTCCTCGGGATCAGGAGGCTGAGGACTGAGTGACAGCCTCCCCAGTCCCCAGGAACACTGTCCATGGGGTTGCATTGTGCCCAAGAGCCAGCTCCTGGAATGTCCAGGCCCCGGCCAGAGGCAGAGGACAGCAAATACGAGGCCACGAGTTACCTTGGGCTTCGAACAGCTCATCCTGAGGTTCTCTGGGACTCTCAGCTTCCTCATCAGACTTGAGACTCTGGAAAAACAGCAGAAGAAGTGAGTCCCTAGTGGCACCCTGGAAATGCAGCACCAGGGACAAACAGAACAGGATATTTGGGCAGGATGGGGGCCTCACTAAGCAGCCCACAGTGCTGTGAAACAACATCCTCTCAGATGGAACAGCACCTGTGTTTGGGCTCCTCAACACAAATGCAGCCACAGCAGCTCACTGAGGACACGGCAAAGCCCATGTCCTAGCTGCAGGGTAACCTGCCTCATGGCACCAGCGCCACTACCATCTGCAGAGGCCGCGTGTCTCTGCCCTCTGCACAGCCCCTCACCTACATCCAGTCAGCAAACAAGTGGTTCCCTGAGTCTCCACAGTGTGCAGGCACCTAATACCAGAGTTCTTCACACACTTGTACCCCAGGCCTCAGAGGGGCAGGGCCGCTATGAAGCTTACAGCTCAGGTAAGAGCCTCACTTTCCAACGACAGAATCGGCAGACCAGAGCCAAAGTCTGCTTCTGACCCATAACTGATTCTGGAATGAACAGCTGGGAAGCTGAATCTGTCCCCTGCAAAGCTGGCACTAACTCTTAAGCGTCAGAACCCAAGTTGCTGATGCTTAACCCCATTTTCCTAATGTGTCAACTCAACCGACAATCCCGAAGGCAGTTTTCCCCTCATGTTCTGAGGGATCTGAGACAGTTTAAGGTTGGCATCAGTGGTGTATGCCTGGGACTCCAGATACTCAGGAGGCTGAGGCAGGAGGGCCACAAATTCAAGGCCAGTTGCAACTTGGTGGGAATCTCAAAATAAATAAAGGCTAGAGATGTAGCTTAGTGCTCCTTGTGTGAAACCCCAGTATATCACACACACACGCGCGCGTGCGCACACAGACACACACACACACACACACACACACACACACACACACACACAGAGAAAAACAAAGAGAGGGCTCAAGCAACAGAACAGCACATGTGAAGATGGAGCACAAGCCCAGGGTCCACTCACTCCCCAACTATATCTGAGGCCCAAACCCACAAAGAAAATGAAAAGCAAGGTCATGGGTCTGTTTGCCCAGGTGAAAGAGGCCACTGAGAGAAAAACTCTAATATTCAAATATGTGTTCATTTTTTTCTTTTCACCTCAACAAATGTTCAAGATACAATGGCATCAGTGTGGGACCAGGGCTCCTGTGAAAAGCGAGTTCCCAGTGTGCCAGGCTGTCAGAGTTCCTGTCACAGACAGTGGGGACCCAGGGCTTCTAGAATCCTTTGAAAACAGACCCAAGAGTTCACGGTCCATTCCGGGGCTGCACACCTGCCTGAGGAGATTTCCCTTTACTCAGGAGCAGGAGGCCCTGGCAGGTCTCCTGGTCATCCCAGACACAGGACAGGCTCCACAGGAGAGGAACAGCAGCGCGAAGGCTCTGGGAGGCCTGGGCTCGACTTCTGCAGCGCCCCAGCCCTCCCATGCCTTTGAGGGCATGGGGCACGAGCCCTGCTAGCCTGAGGCGAATCGGAGGTGATTCTCCCTTTCTGTCCTTAGCACATCACATTCCCACTCGTGACACTATAAAGATGGCCTTGCAGTAACAGGGACAGAGGATCTGTGCACAAATTCTCTATGGCAAGACTGGGTGCTCTGAGTCAGGACCCTCCCCCCACAAGACAATTGGAATGAGAAGATCACAAAGAAATGCCATCCCCAGTGTGAGTCCAGGTGGCTGGCAACTCCAGCTGCCCAGCACGTCGCGGCCCTCCCATAGCTCTGACGATCACGTGCTATGGCCACAGAGGGACACTTTCCTTCCCCAGCCCCGGGCATCCTGGGGTGACACCAACCTACCTCCACACTCTCCAGGGATGCAGAGCGGCAGTGCTGCCTCTTCAGCCCAGCCCTGGCTAGCTGCTCTGATCCATATGTGGCTTCGGTGGCAGAGGTCCTCCGCTCCGGCTGGCTCCGATGGCCGTAACGCTTGGAGCCGCTCACGTACTTTGGTGGGACAGCACTGGAGGCAGCTGGAGAGGAAACAGGCGCAGGACCATGAAGTGCTCCAGGCCCAGCGGTCGGCCTGTCTCACCCAGAAGCATCTGAAGACACACAGTGCACAGTGCAGCACCAGGGGCAGTAACTGAAGGGACCTGTAACGGGGCTCCCCTGGCACCTCGCGGGACAGGAGGTATGGGACAGGAAATCCTTACACTAAACTCCACCTGCTATCTTTTCAAGTATATTTTGCATCTATTTGTGGAATTAAAAAAAGACATGGGAGCTTCTCAGGCTTCACCACAAGGACTAACAGGAGGCTGGAGAGCACAGGCCAGCAGGTCAGCAGGTCCAGGGCAGCGGGGGGCAGGGGCACTAGTTTTAGGATATGTGAGAATTCACTGAATCCACACTACTCTATCCCCACCTCCACCTGCATATTCACACCCATCTACAAGGTGCACGGGACGGGGAAAGGTAGGCAGGACACAGGGTCCCTCAGAGATTCAGAGGAATGAAGCAACCAGACTAAGACGGCTGGAGAGCGGGCCCCTGGTCTCTGTGCTCAGGTACAGCCGTGCTGGGAGTCCTCCTCTCCCTGCCTGGGCTTAGGCCCATGGGGCGGTGCAGGGAAGTGCAATCATTGTAGAAGCGGTGGAAGGTGTGGTGCACGTGGGAAGCCATGCTGGCGGGACCCGAGGGTGCTTATGACCCTGCAGGACGGGCCTGCCACACAGCGGACCTGGGCTTTGTGCTGCCTCGATGGCCAAGCCTGGGGCCAAATCCTGCCCTTGCATGCCTGGGGACGGCATGCCACTAGCGTCTGTGTCCCCTCCGCAGCTGCTGGCCTGCGCTGACCTCAAGGTACTGGTTACCGAGCACCCTCCTCAGCCCTGTCCAGGCGGCATTCTCTGGAATGCGGTGACCTCCCCAGTATCAGCCACTTGGAGGAGAGCCATGTGGCTCACCGGCCTGGGGACAAGGAGTCAGAGCCCGGCCAGGACACCCAAGGTGGCCTTCATGCCCTTAGGGCCACAGGGCCACCCTCTGGGTGGACAGCACCTCAAGTCTCCTGGGCAAGGGCCTCCCCAGCAGGCTCTCAGCCAGGACCGCTCACCCCACCCCCCAGCACACCTACAGGCTAAAGCCCTCACATCTGCGTGCCTTCTCCAGGAAAAGGGCTGGCAAGTCCACACAGTGCATTAAGTTACATGTCCAATGACAGCCTTGAGCAAGAGGGGGGTGGTGGGAAGCAGGGCTGCTCTCCAGAATATAGGGTGTACCTCACACCATGACCCCTGGCCCTGAGCAACCAAAGCCTATCTCTCTCATCCCCACAGTGGACTGCTAGAAGGACCAGCAAGGAGATGAAACCTGGGAGGAGGATGACATCATGACCCGAGCAGCAAGCAGGGCCTGAGTGCAGAGCCCCTGGCCACACGATGGCAGGGTGGAGAGGAGCCAAAGACACAGGGTCGGTGAACAGGTGTACGGATGAGCAGGTGGGTGAGCAGGACAAGACAGGGAAGTAGAAGCAGAGTCAGCCCTGAAGAGCTTGTGGAGGGTGGACTGGATCTGGACGGGTCTCTGGCTGCAGCCACAGGACTGGTTCCAGAGCTGCTCAGGGACTGGGACCATCTGGCTAAGGGAAGGGGAGGGGAGGGGAGGGGAGGGGAGGGGATGGGGGAGGGGAAGGGGAGAGAAAGGAAGGAGAGTAGAGGGAAAAGCAATGAAAAGAAAGAGGGGGAAGAAAAGGAAAAGAAACAAAGGGTAAAGGAAAGAAGGAAAGGGAAGGATAGGAAAGGACAAGAGAAGAGAAGACAAAACTGGGTTGTGAGAAATGCACAGCTCTGAGCTGAGATTGCTTCTTGGAAAGAACTGAGAATGTGTCACACAGGTAGAGACTCGGAGCTCAGAGGTCAGGGTGCTCTGAGCAGGGACAGACTGTGGTGTCCTGGGCACCGACATCCCTGGGCAGGGTTGCCACACGTCTTGGAGTGAAAATAAGTCAGGAGCAGGCCCTGCAAGTGGTGTGCATAGCTAGTTGTACAGCACAGTGACAAACAAGTGTCACAGGTCCAGGGTCGGAGACCAGGGGCCCGCATCACAGAGGCCGGGTGCCTCCTCCCACACACCCACCTGAGCCTGTGTGCCACCCTAAGACACTCCTTATAGAGAGGAGATGAAGGGAAGAAAGAAATAAAGATCTAAGTCCATAGAGCCTGGAAGTGACACAACATACAATGGGAACTCAGCTTTCAGAACTGCAGGTTTTACTCCAAAAGGCAGAAAAGTCTCCCCGGCAGAGACACTGAGCTCACAGAGGGCTTCCTCTCACCTGACTGCAAAGAACCAGCTTCTTCACTGCTGAGGTCACCACCAGCCTTGGAGGACAGCACCGCCACAAGCCCTTCCTTAAACTCCTCAAAGGTGACCTGGGCAGGTTAAGCAGAGGGGACAGCGTGACTGCCTGTAGTGCCACGCTTACCATTACACCCCTGGGCTCCTCTCAGGAGAACATTCTTTTCAGTTTGTCAAATATGTATTTAAGATTGTTTGCAACAGAAGAGTAAGAAAGGTAAAAAGGAACCATAATCCCACCACCAAAATAAACACTTTTATAAAGCAGATCCTAGGGCCGGGGAGATAGCTCAGTAGAATAAGCGCTTGCCTGGCAAGCACAAGGTCCTGAATTCAATCCCCGGTACTGCAAATTAATTTAATTAATTAATTAAATAAATAAATAAATAAAGCAGATCCTACAAGATAATCAGAAAAATACATCTAGGCAGTGGCAGCCCCGCCCCTGGGAGCACTGAGCCGGCCACCACTGAGTCTGGGCATGGTGGTGCACGCCTGTAACCCCAGTGTCAGGGAGGCTGAAAACGGGAGGATTACTATGAGTCCAAGCAGTGTAGTAAGGCCCTGCGCATACTGGATACATACAGGATAGTGACACCCTTGCTTTTCTGCACCTAACCTGCATGCAACCCTAAAACACAGGGTTTAGTTTTTCCTTGATGGAACTGCATGCATACACACTTTCAGATCTGGCCCCTCTGACTCGACACTGCTTCCGTAACGTGTTCACGAGGCTGTGCATGGGCCTAGTTCATTCATCTCTGACGCACAGCACTTCGCTGCACACCAGGGCATCAGCCAACCCAGTCCTGTGTCTGCTTATCAAAACCAAAACGCTCTGACGCTGTTCCTTATGTCACCTCCGGGGTTTCTGTATAGGTCAGACCTAAGAATTCCCCGCATCACTTTTTAACCTGACAGTCTCAGTGTCTCACATCAAAAACAACCCAGCTTTCTTTGATTAGTATTTATGTCATGTATCTTTTTCTCAAACTTTTAGTCTCAATTATGTACATCCTGATGTACGGTGCATCTTATTATTATTTTTTTTTTAGGTTTATTATATTTTATGACTTCATTTTCTCTTTGTTAACTTAGAAGTTGTATATAGTCCATTTACTTTCTCTTCCTGCTTCTCCTAAGAACATGTATCCTCTGCTTATCAAATTTACCACTAATCAATACATTTACCTTTTTTTATGGAACCGAAGATTGAACTCAGGCCCTTGTGCTTGCCAGGCAAGCACTTATTCTACTGAGCTATCTCCCAGGCCCCTAACCCTCTTCTTTAATACAGAGTCTCTTAATGTTTTAACTCCCTTTGCTACACTCCTTTTTATTTTTTATTTTATCTTTTTGTGTGTGTGTGGTTGGCTCAGCCTGGGGGATGGGGGGGCTGGTGCAGCATGTGGTGCTGGGGATTGAACTGCGGACTCTGAGCTTGCCTAAGCAGGCACTTTAGACCACTGAGCTATCTCACCAGCCCATCTGCACTCCTTTTTAAACCTTTACAATGCATTTTAACTCTACATTTTGCACCTTCACCAACATCACTTTTATTTTATATAGTCAATGTTCTTTTAGAATTATCCACATATTAACCACTAGGTGTTTTCATCTTGCAATTCTGACCTTCTGTGATAATTTTCTATCTATTTCAAGTACATCTTTTGGAATTTCATCCTTTTCTTGCATATACTGGTGCCAAACTCTCTTAGCTGTTTTAATTTCACCTGTAATCCTTTCAGCAGAATATAATTTATATAGCTTACAGTAATGCTTCATTTTTCTCAAATAGAAGTGACACTATTCTCACTTAAAAAGAATGGATGGGGCTGGGGAACTAGCTTCGCGATCTAAGTGCCTGCCAAACGCAAGGATCTGGGTTCAAAACCAGGCATGGTGGTGCATGACTGTGATCCCAGTGCTGGGGAAGTTAAGACAGGAGGATCACAGGAGTCTGAGTCGCATAGTGAGACCCTGTACCAAATAAATAAATAAATAAATAAATAAATAAATAAATAAATAAGAGGGTTCAATCCCAGTCCCACAAGCCGCTCTGGCCCCACCCCCAGGCAAGCTGAGCTGGTGACTGAGTCCAGGTGTGGTGGTGCATGCCTGTAAGTTCAGCACTGGGGAGGCTGAAAACAGGAGAATCACTACGAGTCCAAGCTGCGTCGTGAGACCCTGTACCAAATACATACATAGATGGATTTTTTTTTTAAAGCCAGAATGGATGGATGAGCAGTGACATAGACATGCACAGCAACACAACCTTGACAAAGCACCAGCCCCCAGACACAGCTGTGTGTCACCTGGCGCACAACAGGCCAGCACGTGCTGGCACTGCACATCAGAGACAGGATCTACCATGTTGGTAGCAGGATGGTGGGAGGCTCTGGTGAGAGGCATAGAGAGGTCACCTGGAGGGAGCTGAGGGCTGGCCACTCGGGGTGCACCCTGCTGGGAGCATATGCTGTGCTGCACACTTCGCGTCCTGCTGCAGCTCTTTTCACCATGCTGATGAAGTCCCACAGGAGGACATGACCAGGGGGATTCTGGGCCAATATCACAGTAGCACTGGAGTGGCAGGCCCAGGGCTGGAGGTTCTGCTGCCTCTGTGATGACAAACTCCCACTGTCGCCAGCCCTCTGTCTAGGACAGGTGTGCACTGCTCCTTGATGTGACCTCATGCACACTTGGCGCGGGAGCTGCTCACTGTGCTGTGCTCACTAAGGGATCGCCTCACGAGCCCCTGCTGCCGAGCAGAGCCTGTTACCCACATAAGCCCTTCCAGCTTTGCCTCGGAAGGTGTCTGTGCTGGATGCGGGTACTGACCAGCTGATACTTCCTTTTTTTTGTGTGAGAGAGGATCTCACTATGTAGTTCAGGTTGGCCTTGAAATACTCCTGCTTCAGCCTCCTGAGTGCTGCGGTGACAGGCACGCACTGCCACACCTCACTGGCTACCTCCCTTTAGTAGACAGGACTGTAGCTCCTCTGGTGGTCCTGGCATTTGGCTGCTATTCTGGGGATGAAGTTTTCAGACTGGGGGTGAAGTTCTCTCTTCACGACTGGGTCCATGTCTGTTTTTGCCACGTTCAGGTATGCCTGATCTGGGCAAGAGGCCAGAGGGTCTGCAGTCCCCTCTGAGGGCACAGGCAATGTGATGGCCAACTGACCTGCGTTGGTCTCTGCCCTGCAGTTGCCCCATTAGTACTCTCCGCAAATATGGGGCTAGTCTACCAGACTTCCTACCTTGGATAAGCCTGCATTTGACACCTTCTTCCATGGCCTTCTGAGTCCTCTAGGACCACAGATCAATCTCACTTATGGTGATAAGATTTTCTTTTCTTTCTTTTTTTTTTTTTTTTTTTTTTGTGGAACCAGGGATTGAACTCAGGTCCTTGCGCTTGCCAGGGAAGCACTTATTCCATTGAGCCATCTCCCCAGCCCGATAAAATATTCTTAACACAAACACTGTTTTGTGTGCTGAGCTCACCAGTTATCCAATTTACCATGCATCTTTGTTTTTGTTTTATTTTATTTTTTGTCCATTTTAAGATAGGGTCTCACTATACAAGTTCAGGCTGGCCTCGAACTTACTCTGTAGCCTAGTCTGGCCTCAACTTGCAGCAATTCTCCTACCTTAGCCTCCCAAGTACTGAAATTACAGGTGTGAGCCACCACATCTAGCCTATGGTACATCTTTGAACTGGTAATTTCTGTCTGGTGTTTTTTCCTATTTTTGAGGGTTTTTTTTTTGTTGTTGTTGTTGTTCCCCTTTTTTTAACCTCTGCAAAGGTGGAAAGCCAGCTTCCAAGTTGGGGTCTGGTTGGTTATTATCTTGGCCTTGGTGTCAGAGATCTGAAATCTCTGCAGTAGAGGGCTGGTTACAGTCCCAGGAAAGACTGTTTTGTCTGCAGAGGTCTCAATCATGCGGGTTCTGCCTGGCCTGGAATCCAGGTGATCAGGTCCAGGACAGCGACTGGAGGCTTCTGGGAGGAGCTGAATGTTCCTATCAACCTCTCACCTGGGTCCTCGGTCTTGAAGGAGATGAGATCACGAGAATTAGGGCCGAACAACCCTGTCCAGCCAGACCCTAAGGGACCCACATGCCCTACGCAGAGCTGCGAAGAGACCTGACCCAGGACTTACAGTGACAAGGACACAGACGATGGCCAAGTTTTGTCTGCTTTCAGTTACCTACTGGGCATCTGCAGGCCAGCTGGCGAGCCACACTTCACAGCAAATCTGGCTTTTAAGTTCCTGGCTAACCCAGAAGAAAACACAAATCATGCTGTTAAGGAGTAGCAGGTAAGGAAGGGCCCAGGATTTTGCCTGTCCTCCACTTCTATGGCTGTCCTTATGTCATGACAGTCATTCCTGTGATGGATGGATTTCTTTTTTCTTTCTTTTTTTTTTTGTATTTTAGTGAAGGGTCTACAGGGTGTTCTAGGTCTCACTACTGGATGGGACTCATAGTGATCTGCCTGTTTACAGCCTCCCAAGAGCTGGGATTACAGGGGTGCGCCACCACGCCCAGTCTCAATTGCCATCTCAGCGCAACCCCATGGTGGGGCTGGCATGGCAGGCCCAGTGATTGAACCCCTTGCCCCGTACCTGCTTGTAAGTGCTTTAATCTGCTGAGCTATTTGGCTGGTCTCTTTCTTTCTTTCTTTCTTTTGTTTGGCAGATCCGGGGACTGAACTCAGACCCTTGCACTTGCCAGGGAAGCGCTTATTCCACTGAGCCATCTCCCCGGCCCCTTTCTTTCTTTCTTTCTTTCTTTCTTTCTTTCTTTCTTTCTTTCTTTCTTTCTTTCTTTCTGGGACTTGGAATCAAACTCAGGACCTCATGTTTGCCAGGCAGGCACTGTGTCAATGAGCTATTTCACTGGCCTGAGATAGCTTCTTTTTAATAGCTCTAATCTTTTCAGACACCACAATACCGCATTTATTTTGGCTCCAATTTTACACATACTTCTTATTTTTTATTTATTTTTGGTACTGGGGATCAAACTCAGAACTTTGCACTTGCCAGGCAGGCGCTTATACCACTGAGCTATTTCCCCAGCCCTACACATACTTCTTTTCTAGCTAAACTTTAAATTTTTCAAATCTTTCTGCTGAGCTTTTTGCTCCTGCTTCTCGCTATAAACCTGGGCAAAAGTAGCTAAAAGTACCCATGCCACAGCCTGAATACCGTGTAGCCTTAAAATTCACTCCTCAGATCCACTAGTCCATTGTCTTAGCCTTAGATGGTTTTATGGCATGGACAAAGCGGAGAGAAGTTCTCTGGTAGAATATAGCTTCCCTGGCCTCTAGCTCAATTCCCAACACAGCTTTCATTCCCATCTGAAACCTCAAGAAGAGACTGCACTGTACTGTACTAGACTGTACTGACACTGAGCTCCCACCAGCATTGCCCATCAAGCTCTGCTTATAGCATTCCAGGAGTCTGGGAGCCTGCAAACTGCGAACGTGTACTCGCCAGGCAGGCACTGTGCCTTGGGGCTGTACCCCGGCCCTTCAAAGGCTTCTGAAGCAATGATCAGGTATAGGCACAGCAACGGGCCCACTTCCCCCATAACAATTTTCTGTATCAGTCAGCTTTTCTGTTGCTGGGACAAAATATTGGACGCATGCAACTTAGAGGAAGAGAGGTTTGGTTTGGCTCGCAATATCAGATCATCCTCAGCTGGCTCCAAGGCAGACGCATGGCCCAAGGGCATGGGGAAGGCAGGAAAGCTGCTCAACTCACAGCAGCCCGGAAGCTGAGCTACAAACTACAAACGGAAGATCAGAGAGGAAGGGCCAGGGACTAGATCTGCCCCCAAGGTCATGCCCTCGTGGTCCACCCGGAAGCATGCTTTGCTGGTGTCCTAGGTGTCTCTGAGGCCAACCAAGTTGACGGCCAAGATTCACTCTCACAAGAGCTAATGATGAAACCCTGTTCTTGCGCACAGAGGTCCATACCCACCCTGGCACTGGGGTTGTCTCCAAGCAGAATCTTCAGGAGGGCGGGCAGCTGCTTCTGCAGGTGGAGTTTCTGGCAGAGTTGGGTCAACTCCTCCCGGTCCAGAAAGCCTGTCCCGGTGGCATCACAGCTGCTGTAGATGTCCTTAAGCTGTGAGACGTAGTAATTGTCTCCTTCATCCATCCCATAGCAGGCTGGCCTTGGCAGGGAAAAAGAGAAACATCAGGACACATTTCCCACCACCACACACGTTCCTGCACTGCTGGGCAAGTGCAGAGGCAGAGCTGGTGGATGAGGAGAGAGCTGGAGCCTCCTCAGACTGTGTGCTGGGAGGGCATGGCCCCCTGTGCAGGAGAGACAGAGATCCTGGCAGGGACAGCAAGGCTGGGCAGCCTTTCGACATCAGTCACAAGAACCAGAATGTCTCTGTTATGTTAAAAAAAAAAAAAAAAGACTATTACACAATATCTTGAAAGGGTTAAAGAGGAAAGGAAGGAGTCAGGCGTGGTGGGCTCGCCTGTAATCCCAGGACTCAGGAGGCTGAGGCAGAGGACTGCTAGGAGTCTGAGGCAAGCCTGGGCTACATAGTGAAACCCTGTCTCAACAAGACAAAAAGAAAAACAAGACGAAACAAAACGTAAGATGAAACAGGCGAGAGAGATAAATACAAAAAGCACTAAAATCACCACATTTCTACCACCTATAAAAACTATTATTAATATTTTGGCACACCTACATTCTAACGTTTCCATATCAATCTATCAATGTGGTTTTTCCTTACACATTCAAGTATTTGCTTACAAATACAAATTAAGATGTGAAAACTTCCCTAAATTCCAACAAATAAAGTCGCTTGTAATGAAAGAGAATATTAATAAATTCAAAAGAAGAAAATAATGTAACTGATAGCTACCTAACAGTGCTCCGATTAAAACGAAGAGATGTCATGATAAATGACTCAGACTAGAACCTCCCGGTCCCAGCAGTAATCACAAGAAGGGGGACTCCCACATTGCTCTGGGAAGCTCAGCCACAAACACTGAGAGAAGTCACAGTGTCAACAGATCGACATTTTACTCAGCACTCTGGGAGGCTGAGGCAGGAGGATCACAAGTTCTGCCTCGCCCAGGCAACTTACAGACTCACTGAGGCTCTGTCTCAAAATAAAAAACAAAAAGGGCTGCGAATGTAGGTTGGGATGAAGGCACTGGATTCAAAACCTCCAAGCAATAATAATATCAATAACAACAACAGTGGAATATTTCACAAACATGAAACAATAAAGCAACATCTTCTATGAGTAGAGCCCAGCACGGTGCACGCTGATGTAACACAGACGCGCTGTGACGGGGCGGGTGGGGTGACCAGTGCTGCCATCGCCTGGCAGGGCAGGGAGGCCTGCGTGAGAGCTCGGTGCACCTGGGAGGGGTCTTCACAGCCACAGGGCACTGCAGACAGGGAATCCTCATCTGACCTCTTAAACAGGGCTCAGTAACCATAGACCAGCGGGTGTACACACCAAGATGGGACACACCCAGCCAGATCTCAGCGCCCGCAGGTGTGGCCACCTGCGAAGGGGATGCCCTTCCTCTTGATCAGGAGATACGCCTCCTCAGGAGCAGCAGGTGATGGGGCAGGGTAAAGAGGGTCAGCCGTGGCCAACCCCCCCAGCTGGTGCAGCCAACTACAAAAAGCATCCAGGTAGAAAATCGACAGGGAAACAAACATGTGATTCACCAGACCACAAACCTAGCTTCCCAGAGGCAACAGCGGTCTAGCCAGGCCTCCTGTGCTAAGTGGGACAGACAGGCTGCTCTTACTCTTCCCTGAGCTATGCAAAGCCGCTCCTGGTCGCAAGTGCTGACCTGCAACAAGCCAGGCATTCACTGGCCACGGAGCACACGACACCCTGGGTAAAACGCTGTCACCATCCAGAAGGGAGTAGAACACGGAAGGTATGCAGTGTGGCCTCCGCTGGCGGCCCCCATCCTCTGAATAGATGAGCCTGGATTTCCCAGCTCAGGGAACTTTGTTTCCATTCAGTTCTTCCTCTGAGAGAAGTAGCCAGATGCTGTGGAGTTCCCCACACACATGCCTAGGCTAGTCTAAAAAAGCACAAACCAGCACAGCCCCAGAAATGTGGGGGTCTTGAGAAAACACTACATGGTTTATTTTTATTTTTCCCTGAAATGAATTACACTAAAATATGCTTTCCAAAGTTAAACTCAGTTTGAAGCTTCTCTTGGGTGAGGAACCCTTGACCCCTGAGCATGGCACGGATGGTGAGAGGGTCCTGGGAGTCCCCAAAAGGAAACTAAGGTTCTGGCAGCTGTTAACGGTTGCTGACTATGTGCATCTGCCAGCAGGGCTGCCACCTTCAGAGGCAAGGCAGCCAACTTCCAGGGTGCTGAGCAGGGCTGGCAGGAACCCGGGCACAGGTGGAAGCACAGAGATGCTGGCTGGGGACTCTTGGGGCTGTTGTGCAGTGGAAAATCCCTCCCACTAGCCTTCAAAGTGTGGTCAAATCATGGATATTACCTTCCTGTGACAGTCACCAACATGTACACTAAGTGGCTGGGGCATTAGGTCAGCACCACCAAGGGCTTGCAGAGATCCTAGGGTCTGAGGAGCCCTGAGAACCCACAGCACAGACAGTGACAGTGACAGTGACTCTTCTGACCATGCAGGTTACTTCGAGGCCAATGCAGACATTGCCAGGACCATTCCACAGTTGGGTACTCAGTGCCCTTATCCCAGCCCGTGCTATGAGGCCTAGGGACCTCTGCACAGCTACCCTAGGCTATTTGGCTCTGGCTGGTCAGTTTCTGTGACTCAGCTTCCCACTGTCACCATGGTGACCAGAATACCAGGCAGCTGCTGAGAACCACAAGACACCCAGGCCGGCCACTTCAGAAGCAACTACAGAGCTTGGAAGTGGCTTCGAAGCCACTGCTGATCCTACTGCTTATGGTGCTGCTGGTGACAATGACCCTAGAGGCCCATTCCCATGGGATGGGGTAAGATGCTGTTTCCAGAAGTGTCACCCCACCTGCTCTCCACCCTCCTGAGAAGAGCAGTCAGCTGAGCCCCACAGCACAGGAACCAGTCATGCTCTACTTAGACTCCCCAAGGGTGAGAATACCACCACATCCTTCACCCCCGCTTCCCTCAACTGAGGAGAAACAAAGACACAGCCAGGCTTTCCGGGCCACGGGCAGGAGCTTGGCCCATCTTCCCCCAGCTCTGCAGGTGCCTGGCCTCTGTAGGTGCCCAAGTACAGCCCCAAACACAGTGCTTTGTGATAAATAACAACCACCCCTTACCTGGGCAGTCCAGAGGCCTCTTTGGTTTCTCCTTCATCGAAACTGAATTATTTATCTAATCCTCCTCGGGAGCTCACACATGTGTGAGATGTGCGCACATGCAAGCATGAGAAAGCCCGGCCGGCCCACAGGAGCCAACTGCAGAGCTGGGAACAGCACTCCAGCCAGAGACCAACCCTTAACTTCCCACAGTTTCACTTTCCTGAATTCGGAAGGAGTAGATTCTTACTATTTCTGAGGTCAGAAAGCTTAAGCTAAAGGTCAGGCATAAATGCTGCTGCTAGGTGAACCAAAATCCTGTTCTCATCCTGTCTCTAAAAAAAAAGCAAAAAACTGGACACTGCCACAGAGACAAATGACCTGGGCCCATCACTCTGCAGGACAGAGGAGCAAGGTGTTAGTTTGCACTTAATTTATGCACAGTGCTGAGGAAATTCAATCTGCCCCCGAGAAGCTGCCAGGGACCCAGAACACTGCTGCAACAGGAAGCAGCTCCAGTCCAGGAGCAAGCCAGCGCACCCCACCCAGCGACCAGGAGAGCTGCCTTCAAGATAAGATGGGTGCATTCCGCAGTGGGGGTGGCCCACCCAGAGAAACACCAAAGTCACCTTTAGGTTCCAGCTGAGCAGCTGGCAGCACCCGGTGTTTCCAGCAGCCTCGGGCTCCACAGTCCACCTTCATGCCTCAGCAGATCTAGGCCACTGGGATTCGCTTCTGCATTGTTTTCTCGGCTTGCTCTAGTTTTCCAAAATGTACGTTATTGCTGGACGTGGTGGCACATGCTTATAATCCTGGCACTTGAGAGGCTGAGGCAGGAGGATGGTTTTGATTTTGAGAACAGCCTGGGCTGCAAAGTGAGCCCAAGTTCAGCCTGAACTGCATAGTGAGACCCTGTCTTAAAAAAAAAAAAAAAGAGGGGCAGGGGAGATGGCTCAGTAGAATAAGGGCTTCCCTGGCAAGGATAAGGGCCTGAGTTCAATCCCTGGTTCCAAAAAAAAAAAAAAAAGGAAGAAAGAAAGAGCCAGTAAGATAGTTCAGCAGACTAAGCGCTCCAGTACCACATGTCACACTGACCCCACCCCTGGGTACACTGAGCCAGCCACCAAGACCAGGCAGTGGTGGCATGCACGCCTGTAATCCCAGCGCTAGGGAGGCTGAAAACAGGAGGACCACTATGAGTCCGAGCTGTGCAGTTGAGACCCTGTATCAAATACATTAAAAAAAAAAAAAATTGCTACAGGGACTCTTCTTAACCAAGGCTAAAATGTAGTAGTAAGAATCTATTTAAAGACATAGGTCTTTTCCTCCCGGGCTGTCTGAGGTTCCATTGCCATCATGAATGACACAGTAACTATCTGAACCCAGAAATTCATGACCAACCGTCTTCTTCAAAGGAAATAAATGGTCATTGATGTCCTTCACCCTGGGAAAGCAGCAGTACCTAAGACAGAAAGTTGGGAAAAATTCACCAGAATGTACAAGACCACACCAGATGTCATTTTTGTGTTTGGATTCGAAACCCATTTTGGTGGTGGCAAGACAACTGGCTTTGGCATGATTTATGATTCCCTGGATTATGCAAAGAAAAACGAGCCCAAACATAGACTTGCAAGACACGGCCTGTATGGGAAGAAACAGACCTCAAGAAAGCAGCAGAAGGAACGCAAGAACAGAATGAGGAAAGTCAGGGGCACCACAGAGGCTAACGTTGGTGCTGGCAGAAAGTGAGCTGGAGACTGGAGACCAGCCAAAGGGGGAGAGATTCTGCAGTGCCTGTCTGCAGTGACTGCAACTTTTTTCACGAGAGGATTTAATAAACTGTAAAACCTTCAAAAAAAAAAAAAAAAAAAAAAAAAAAGACACAGAACACTGGCAA